ATGCTTCCAATATCCAATTTAAGTAAAAGAAATTACTTGATGGATCCTTGGAAAACTCAACCTTCTTGATGGGGCCCAACAAGTTTCACTTTGTCCAATGGGTCCTCACTCGACGGCCATGCAACTCACCGTTAGTCTTCCTACAATAAAAGTTCTTAAAATTAGCGATGGAAGCAAAAGTAGGAGCAATCTTTCGACCCATTTACTTTCTTTATTCTCTAGTCCCTTATAGCACCGCTGCAGCCATCAAATAATCATACAATACAGCAAGCATGTACGTTTAGACGCAAAACAAGACGAGATGCAAAAGAAGAATTGTACAGAGAGTCTTTCTTTCATTTGTTTTTTGTTCCTATCAATTGATCAATCAGCCATCAGGTCAATGTCCTTATTCAAGAGTTTTGGTCACCGAGTATCGCTCGGCCAGATGTCTGGCTGGCCTATCCCAATCATGCAATCCGTTTCCAAAATCTAATTGTATCATAAAGTGGAACCGCAGGCTTCCACCAATTAGATCAAAAGCAACAGCCACCATGAGTTCATAGTCATGTCTGAGAAAGCTACTTGCACCATGAGTTTGAAGTACTTCTGATGTGGTCTTGCCGAGATTTCATCTTCCTAAACGAAATAAACCCAAATTGTAGTGAAACATCATTAACAATTGCGTGCAAGTTCGTCGATTGGATCCCATCGGGTAAAATAAAACCTGTTTGATCCCATCAAGTAATTTTCTCAGTAAAAGTAGAGCCGGCGCAAAATTTTCAGTATTTGATGTCATGAACAGAAGATTAGAAAATAATGTTAGAAAAAATAACACAAAGTTAAAATAGCAAAAAGAATAAAAATATTAATCAATCACAGGGATTTAACAAGACAAAAACAAAAATAATGCATCATGAAGAAAAGTTAATCTTAGATCTACTTGAAAATATTCAGCAAGTCATAATGAGCAATGAATTGTTTATGGAGAAAAAATAATCTTAAATCCAGTTGAAAATATTCAGCCAGTTATAATGAGCAATGGATTGTTTATGGAGGTATTTACTTGATGGTATCCCATCAAAACCTAAATTGCTTACAGGTGCCCTTTAAGTTTCATTTTACCCAATGATACCCCATTGATCATACACGTCATTCATGTTATTATATCTACAGACAATGCAGATGGTGGAACTATGACATTGAGACTTTACTCAAATGATTGTCCTCATCATGTGACTGTCCTCGTCTTACATTATTGAATTGCTCAAATTTCTACTAGAAGCAATCAGCAATGTCGTGATTCTTCCCCGCGACATCACTGACTTTTCTTCGTCAAAGACTCCTAATTGCACCAATATCTGTAAAATTACCTCACACTTGAATTCAAAAGTCCTCTGCTTCCCTCCTTACGAATTTCCTCCACAGACTCCACACGTCTGTTGTTGCTCACCAAGTCAAATTTTTGACAATTCAAATTCCAAAACCTCTGGGCACTTGTGACAATGTCTCTCACATTTTATCTTTGGCGACTTTAGAGTTCCACTCCAAAGTCGGCGCAGCACAAAATAGTTTTCATTCACTTGATCCACCTGCCCTGGCTCCCCTGGCGAAACTTGCCACTAAAACTAAAGAGTATAACACATTTTAGAACTTTGCGGTGGGGTACTTTAGGATAAAACAAATCTTAAGGAGTCAATTCAAGCAATTTGAATCTCTTCTTTATGCTCCATAATCTGAATAACTTACTTGGCATGGGATCTTTAACAAATATAGATGACAATATTTGAGATTTTAATAACAGTTAAAAGTATAATAACCGCCACATGACACAATCTTGGATAGTGTTAACTGCAAGGTGTTTGGTCACTGCTTATCTTCTGAAATTTTTCTGGCTTGCGAAAGGTGTTTGAGGGTACTTCAAGTGCTGGAAAGATGGTTGGATGAATAGTAGTTTTCAAGTATGAAAGTAGTGAGGAGGGGTTTGGGGGTGGTCAACTTCTTAGGATTATACGTGATTGCTTGCAAGAGTCTAGCTAGTGAGGCATTAGCAACATCGCATGTAGAGCACACACCCTATAATTGTCTAGTGTTATTGTCTCCATACACAGTTATTGCACAAAAGGAGACAAAATTTAAAACGGATGGAAACTTGATCAAATTCATTAAATCTTGCGTAAAATAATTACACTTTCACGGGCATAATGCTATTCAGCACCTGCACAGTGCACACCTACAAATTCGGAATGCCTACAAAATTAACTATGAAACTTTGTACCTCATGGACTCTCTTGGTAAACCTTATGTGTATACAGGTATATTGAGAGTGGATAGTCCTTCATCTTTGAAGATGGTGTCATAAGCACTCAAGCTTTAAGCCCAGAATTTCAGCCAGTTGTCCAAAAGGGCATATCAGTATGCAGGAAAGATCAATTTCTAGGGAATGAGGTCTGACATGGCCGATTACGCTGCGTTCAAAAGAGTCCAAGTGCCCACATTCCAATCATTCTGACATGTGGAATGTTGGACAGTAAGGGCCAACATTCCTAGGTGGAAAAAAAGATGATTGTTGCGGGAGTACCATGAACTTCGACCTGGAAATCCGGTTTTTACAGTAACATAGACTCCACGTGTATTTTTGCGCCTTTTTCAAGTTACTCATCGAGGAGTACTTCCCACTATATTGGAAATTTTTTGACATTCTTTCGAAACCATGGATTCACAGGGAACTTCACTTCATGATTTCACGCATCATGCATCCGCTTCCAACTTTCCAGCTATGGGGTAGGAATATAGTGCACAGGGTACTAGCATTCCAACTTCGACTTTGTTTGAAAGTTTCTCACACCCAGGTGTTCAAATGCCTTTTATTTTTTCATAGTCCTTTGTGCATTTCCTCTCGGAAATGCAATTTCCGCCTGCAAGTAACGTTGCTTCCAGTGTTCCCGTTGGACTCAATAGTGGTTTTGAACAACGCGAATCTTGTGAATGTGATGCTACATAGAAGAAAACGAGCAAGAAACGAAGAATTGTACTTAAAAAACCTGGAATTACTCAAGTGTACGACGTGAAAGAGGAAATGAATGCTTCAAAGAGTAATGGACATTGGAAGGATCATTGAATCATCCAATTGATCACAATACGAGAAGAAATGCATAGTGCATTTTTAGCCCCACCAAAGCAAGGTGAGTCCAGCATACGCATATACCACATTGATTCTGTTTTCTATTGCAAGATCCACTTGCTTTGCTTTTGAATGCTTGGGTAAGCGGATTTGCCTAGGAATTTTATGATATGGTCGTGATTCAAACCATCATATTTTTGAGTTATATCTCTAGTTATGCTCTTGTGAAACGTTGTTCATTCATGCCTCAATTGTCACTAACATCGGAATAGTACTGACTAATTAACCTGAGCTCTACTGAGTATTCTCTTTAAATTTTTGTAATAGAGGCCTCATCACAAGTAATCCTGACACTTCTTTTTTTCTTGCATACAACATCTTTTCTATGATTGGAAAATCTAGTTGTGATGTGTGTGTTCTGACCTGAAATATCCTTCACGTTGGTACTTCATTGTATGCTTGTCCTTTAGTTTGCTTGCAAAACTTAGTTGTATCTTCTTACCTACTACAGAGATATGATGTCTTCGGGATTTTGTTCAGTTGGGTTTCTCGCTAGTCACACGCCGCAAGGCTGCTGAAAGAGTCAATATTTTCTTCAACCCTTGATCTCAAATGATGAGCTCATTCCATTATAAGGTTCTCGGTCTAAACGTCGCAATTCTCAGTCCACTAGTCTCATTAAATTTCAACCGTTCATCTTTAACCGATCTATATTAAGAAGTTCTTAGTTTCTTCTATGTTTCACGAAAACAATACTGAAGTACTATATAGGTATTGGATAGCTACTAAAGTGTTGAATGATCAGCGGAAAAAGGAACGGGAGAAGCCGGATGCAACTGATGAGAATCAAGCCAGATATTACATCATCTATAATTTTCTTCAATCTGAAGGTGAAATAAACATATATCATACGTTGTGTTGACTTGAGTTCCAAGAGAGATGACTTTTGTTGTGCATGATGGATGCATCATCAATTTGAAGCATGTAGAAGATAAAATAGTCGGATCAAAGTGTGTAGAATGTGCATGAAATCTCAAGGGAAAATAGAGTCTGCTGATTAGGAATCTTAGTAAACATATGGTCAAATGTACGACAAATAGAGGTTTAAGGAATCATCCATCGAACATCAACCTTGAAATACAAACAGAGGATGTGTATGTATTGGGGCCCAATATCACGCAACATTACACTCAAATATTTCCTTATCATGGTTTCATCATACAATAGGTTTGGCTCATAAGGTATGAGCAATAGTCTTGTACGAACTTATTGAACTTCAGAATGTACAAATCAAAATAAAGCCACATGCAACAAAGTTACAAGCATATACTCGAATCACTAAATGTGGATTTTATTATATGTAAAATTTGCATAAATCCTCATAATAGATGTCTAACGCCACATGTCTAACTAGTTCATTGAGAATTTTACTATTTGCTAGTTTTAGAAAATGCACTATACAACAAATACTAGGCTAGGCTAGGCTAGTAGACGTCCATGGAAAATGATTCTACCACACACTCTCCTGTTTTAGATTTCCATAAACTCTTGACAATGTTATACCGCCTTGAGTACAACTCTTTTGCAGTTTTACCTCTGGTTGTCATTGATATTCGAAATTCTCTTGCAATCTCTTGTTTGAAGTACTCCAATGTTTCTTAAGAATTGTCTTCAATTCCAACAAGCCTATGTAAAGCATGGTTAGCCACCGCCAATTTTTCTTGTCTCGCTGTCTCCAAAGGTATCATAAGTGACAATCCATTGTACACTTTGTCTAATGCTTCTTGCAACCACTTTGTTTTCTAGAAGTTGTATTCTAGGATGATATATATGTTATGTAGCACAAAGCAAGTACTTATTAACTCAGGTATATTTTTAAATTACTCATATAATATTTGCCAGCTACCTTTGATGTTCGCTCAATGCACACCGAGTATAACTTTGAATAAAGTTCAAGTTGTATTCTTTTTATATTTGTATAGTAAAACCTTTTTTTTTCGATCGAAGTGAACTAACATCCAAGGGCGGCATGGGTAGATAACCTTAGTCGATGGCAGGTCGATGGCCTTAGTTTTCATGAATTTCTCTTGGTTGTTTGATTGACTCAATCAACTCGTCTATTGCCTCGTTGGAAGATCCACCCCTTGACACGGCTGCCGCAGCTTTCCGGGCGAAACTGGCGGCATTGAACGCTAAGGCTTTTCCCAGTTTTTCACGCGAAAATAATTTAAATGCGTTTTCGAATTCTAGTTGGTCAACTATCAACGCCCTGTTGTCAACATCTCTGATTCCGATGCCGGCTTTGAGAACCTGTTGTACGTATCTGCAAATTAAACAATCGAGAGTTACTTTGAAATGTCAACGCAGTTTCCGTTCGGTAGTATTTTCTACAATAAAAAATCAGGATTTGACTTTTGGATCTTTAAAATAGAGAAGTACTGTACACTGGTCTTCTGCTATTGAACATTCAACGTGAGAGTAGGAATCATTGGTCATCAACGTCAGCGACGTAAGTCCCACGCGCGCGCTGTACCTGCAATTGAAGTGCTGTTCGGCCCCATGTGGCCAGCCTATTATCGGCACACCAAATGTCATGCTCTCGAGAACGGACTGCCACCCGCAGTGCGACACAAACCCGACGACGGACGGGTGAGCCAGCACCTGGAGCTGCCCGACCCATCCGGTCACGACCAGGCCGCGACCGCATGTTCGAGTCAGAAAGCCTTCGGGGAGAACGTCGTCCAGAATACTGAAGTTGCCGCGCCGCTTCGACAGAACCCAGAGGAATGTCTGTTGGCTAGCATCCAAAGCTCGAGCAAAATGTCCAATTTGCTCCTTCTCCAATACAACTTGACTCCCCAAACACACGTAGAGAACTGATTTGGTGGGCTGTTTCTCGAGCCACTCCATACACTCCGCATGAGAATCATCCGTATTACTGACGTATGACTCGTTTCTGAAGCTTCTCAGATCGGAGATCGGCCCAATAGGAAACACCCGCGTCGCCTGCACTGGCCATTTCGTCACACACCATTCAATAAAGCACAAAAAAGAAGTTTCGTAAGATGCATGAGAACAGGGGACATTCCGAAATACCCGTCGACGACCTTCAGCGACTGACAAAATCCGGCCCCAAACGAATGCACAGTGCTGTGCATTGCACTGGCGGCCACCACCGGCAGCGTCTGAACCTAAGACTCCGAAGGTGAAGGCAAGATCGAGACCATTAAATATCAAATTTAAGCCTGGATGAATATTAGTATCGGCAGGTTGGCGTTCTCCCTGTGGGCTCTCGAAAACGCCAACCTGCCGTTCTCGAGAGCCCACAGGGAGGAGCATGAAACAAGCACTGTTCCTGCAGGTCCTGTCGGGTGGCTAGCAGACCCCAGATCACAGGCGCAATGCACTCCAATTTATACTGACGTTATGGAAAGCTCAAGAGTTTTGAAAGTAGACACGACTGGTTATTGATCCATAAATCAGGGTATGTGAGCTTGAGTATTACACCTTTTGACGCCTGCTCCCGGAGGAGCCATTTCGAATTGCCTCGACAGCTTTACTCTCCAGTTCGCTGAAAGAATTCATCACAACGCCATCTGCAGTGCAAATGGTTCTGCCAACCTCAATGACAAAGTCGAACCAGCCACTCGATCGACTGACTCCTGGTAGATCACTCGCTGACGACAGAAACTCAAGACCCGGCTTGCCATGGAAGATTTCGTACCAGCCTCGCTGCCAGCCGGGTCCATCTGGTATCTGCTTCAGGTCGTCTTCAAATTCGTGATATACCTGCATGAGTCTTGTAGTCACAGCTGCGTAACTGATATACGCATACCTCGGAATGTCGAGCTGCTCTGCATACTCCTGTGGTTGAAGGTCCGACATATAACGTCAAGTCCGGAAAGCAACGCTTACGTTCACAACACGGACGCCGCAGAAGCACACGTATCGAAGCCAAACGTACGGGAGTCGGACAGCTTTTGGCTGCAATTCTGGCAACTTGTGAAATTCTACACAATGCTAGAAATTCTAAAAATAGCGGTCATCCCAAGGCGCCGTAGAGCGCGTATGTATACCTTCGACCAGGTGAAGAATTTGTCGGCAAGCATGCAAGTGGGATAAGGCGACCCGGCCTTCTTTTTCCCAAGAAGCCTCTGCTGCAGGGGCCGGCAACTCTCCTCCATGCATTTGGCCACATTGAGGGGACTCCAGGCGCCAGGAAGTTTGGGATCGATCTTTGGATCCTCGACAACTTCGACGCTTAGCCCGAGCTTCAGGAGTCCTTCGGGGGTGTAAATTTTGTTCAATGACTCCGCATGCTTACTGATGGTCACGATAATGATCTTCAATCCTCTCGCTGAGAGTTTCTCTGCGAGTCTGATGGCCGGGGCAAAATGCGCCTGCATAATCATCGGTATGAAGAGCAGATGGTGCGAATTTCCAGTCCCATTCTCCTCCCTGTCCCGGCTACCGACAATGGTCTCCATGTTTAACAAGCGCCAGCTGCGCGGAAATTCTTTAGGTCTTAATTCGACAACTGAGATTCTCAATGCCAATCGATACATGCAGCACCCTGCAAGTGTCCGGGTTTTCTTCGAACCGGAAGATATCACAGGTCTCGTCATTCGTGCACGTGTCGCCTCAGCTTCGACAACGGTTTTGAAGTGGGGTAAAGGCGTTGAATTTTAAAGTCTTATTTCGCACTATCATATGATTGCATACCTTATTTGCTTGCGATAAAATATCACTTCAAGACAAAAACTGCTTTCGTGAATTTATTACACTTCAGTTCTTCATTCTCTTCATACCTGGCACACAAGCACTCGTCGCTCTTGGTAAGTGACGAGTTATTTATGAATAGCCCATAGTGCAAAATGTTCTTACAGTTGACTCCCGCTTATTTTGTCCAAAAAGTAGGGTTCAAGATTTATTCGGTTCAACATGTCAGATTGTAATTCGGCTAAAGTTTTGTAGATTCCTGACTTTTCAAACCAATTCTTGATTGACCTGTTTTCATATGGCATTTAAAGTTTCTACTTTGGTAGTAGGAAAGAACAAGTCGATAATGATCATATTGGGCTAAAGTTTCTCTGAACCCTTTGAGTAAAGGATTTCTTGCCTTGTTGTCCCTCTGAGCGCCTTGTGATCGATGCGTTAAGGCCAGTACCAAGATGCGTTAAAGTCTACGTCACATATTGAGAGACCTAATGCAATACTTTTAGCTTTGGCATGCGGTTAATACAGAACCAACAAGATTGAAAAGTCTTCTTTTCAGTCTCATCAGATATTAAGACAAATCTTTATAGCAGTTCTCACGCTTGTCTCACACATTTCTTCACAAACATTAAACTTGTTCGAGTATTTTTATTGTAAGCATAGTTTTTGCTTGCTTCTCTATTGTATCCCATTTTTTAGGTTCATTTAGAGATTACTATTTGATTTTTTTAACATTGCATTTGATTAAAAAAAAATAGAAAGTGATTCGTCTAAGTAAACACAATACTACGAAGTTCAAGATGACTACTCAGGTGGGAGAGTACTGTACATTATCCTCTACAACCTTGTAATAATATTCTAATCATGCGTTAGCTTTTGATGGGACACAACTTCATTCACCAATTTAATATTTTTTTTTAAATTTTCATAAATATGTTCCCAATTATTTTTCCAACACATTCACACAACACAAATATTGTTATGTGGACATTGACTTGCAATATATCTACTTCAACTAATTTTTTTTGCATAATTCTTGAATTCACAATCCATTTCAATTGTGTGAAAAAAAAATGGATGAAAGAAAATCATTATAATGTTGGATCATAAATATATCTGATTTTTTTTTATTAATTTTCACAAACCACAAGAAAAAATTAAAGCAAGAGCTATTGACAGATCACAAATTACATGTCAAATATTCATCCAATAATAACCGTAAGATTTTAGTTCACAATCTTAAAATTTTGTTCATTTTAATCATTTTGTTTCAAACATTTTTTTTAATGTACAGTCATTCTTGATCGTACAAGTTGATCTTGACTTGTATGGTCATACAAGTTCTTTGAAAAACAGCTTCAAGCTACTTGTTATTTCTAGTCATGATACATGGAAAATATTGTCCTTCTCACATCATTGATATAATCAGTCATTTCATCTTCCCTCACACGGAGCTCTAGACAACCTGTCTTCCACCTTATAGTACATTATCATGTCATCCTTCAAGTTTTATCAAGATAGAGTTCACTTTGCAATACAAAATTATTCCCTCAAAACTTTCTTAAGATCAGTCAGCCACTCAAAATTTGACACCAACTTGCGTGCATGTGTTTTTTATTTGTTTTTCATAATAGCTTTCTAGTTTTTTTTTGGAAGTAGCAACTTCTTTCATCACATGATGTGAAAAAATTCATATCAGATTTCAATCGTCATTTAACCCATCTTTGTATTAAATAAGCTGTATTTCAACTGTCGTCATCCTTTTTTTTTCATCTCTTCTATCTTCTTTCATGTAATGTCTTCATGTAAAATCATGAGCCAACATGAAATTTCTTAATCATATGAAATGATGTTAGCTTAAGTCTGCATTTTTCAACTCAAAAAAAGATTTTCTTACTATTATTTTTGTGTCCACGGTAGTAGTTGCATCTGAGCATAGTCCACGAAGCAATACCTTGATATTGGATTCAACCCCTTCTTCTCCAATCTTCATACTATGCGTGAAAACTTGTCTGATCCAAATTATCTATGTGAAAAATTTTTGTGATATAAAAAAATTTACAATTTTTATTGGTGAGTAAAAAAATTAGTCCAAATTCCGATGTGAAAGTCTTTAATTATATAAACGCCTCTACAAAACCATATTTATTTTAAAAATTTTTATGCCTATTTTATCAATATTGGTATCAATGATAACACTTGCATTCTTATAAACTATCTTACCTTTTAAAAATTATATGCTAACATCTCTTGTCTTCCATGTTTTTTGTGTCCATCATAGCAACCTTGATCTTTCGGTTTTTTCTTTTGCTTCATAATGACATCAAGAGATGCATCATACTTACTATTGTTCACAGTTGGAGCTTGATTGCTTGGCGGTTAATTTGATTTTCTAATATATGTGGGAAATGAGACTAGAAAATTAGCAATAAAAAATGTACTATATCATGTAGTACCTGATTTTTTTTTTTTATTTCTCAAATCAACTTAATCCATTTATTTATCATGACTGGCAACATTTTCTTGCAAAATTTTTTCGTGTGTCTTGTTGTGTAGTTTTTGCTCCCTGAATATTAAAAAAAATTTGATAAATTTGTTGTATTAGGATTCAACTCTATCTTATATAGTTTAGCTTATCTACTCCATCCTTCCATATCTATTGCAACAAGATCAGCCAATAGATTATTTCCAGTCATCTTGATTGCCGCGTCAACTTGTCCATCAAGTCTCCAAAGGCTTTCATATAAGCGCTTCTTAACTTGTGGTTAATTATTTTTTAAAGTACCAAATATCACCTCAAGCATTTTTTAAAGAACAGATCTCACTTTCAACTTCTCATAGGAGAAATATCCAACGCTTCTTATAATGATAACCTGGTGATCAAATCTAAGTCAATTCTCTAAAACCAGACGTCCAAACATGAAGCTAACATGTACAGTAAACAAATGTTAAAGGTAAGAAAACATTTTCGATAGTCAAATATCCATCCATCCATGATAGATTCTTGTCATTTTTTATATTTGACATATAATAAAGTTAAGCTTTGTCCATAGATTTATCTCTACAAAGTGTCTTACAATACTTCTAGTTCAACTATTCGAAAGGTTTGAATCTCAATGACACCTCAAAGTTGAAGTTAATTTCTTAGATTTAGTGTTAAAACAATGAACGTCTTCACCTCTAATTCAATTTGTTATAGCGTAGATGAAAAAGTCTGAACAAAATTTTTTCAACTCAAAATTCCACATCATATTCACTAGTTTTGTAGCATTGACATAATTTTGATCGAAGATTCTCCGTGCTGACTTTAGAGGTTACCTATAAGTCTCTACGATATATAGTTGCATCACCTCGCTGGAGATAATCGCCAATCAATTGTTGGTAGGATATCATATTCCATGCTCTGAGCATTTTGTAGTGCCGGTCCGCAAACCTCAAAAACGTCCAACTGCAAAGTTATTCTTCACAAACATAACATTTTGTAATATCAAGCAATTATCCAACATTTTTCATAGTGACACAAATATGAGGAGATATTGACCTTCTAGTGTGTTGTCGCCTTGAGTATCGTGACGATCATAAGTGGCATTCTTTTAAGCTAGTATTTGTGATAAAACTTTACACCATCCCGTCAGTTCATCTTTAAAAAGTTACTTGATGATTTTTAATTTATCATGATAAACTTTTATTGTTTTAAAAAAGTTATAAAACTACTATATATTTCCCCTTTTTATATCCTTTTTTTTTTAAAATGTGCTGCTCTTTTCGTTAATTCAAACATTTTTTTAATATATAGTCATTCTTGATCATACAAGTTGATCTTGACTTGTATGGTCATACAAGTTCTTTGAAAAACAGCTTCAAACTACTTGTTATTTCTAGTCATGAGACATGGAAAACATGTCCTTCTCACATCATTGATATAATCAGTCATTTCATCTTCCTCACACGGAGCTCCAGACAACCTGTCTTCCACCTTATAGTACATTTTTTAATATGTGCTGCTCTTTTCGCTAACTGAAACATTTTTTTAATATACAGTCATTCTTGATCATACAAGTTGATCTTGACTTGTATGGTCATACAAGTTCTTTGAAAAACAGCTTCAAATAAGGGCTCGAAATTCCAAACAGGAGAACGCACTGGTACTCTCGACTCAAACAAAAGGTGTAATCACATTCGGGAGAAGTCGGAGACACTTGCAAGCGCTGATGGAGATGAACATGATGTATGCACACTATGCATACACTTGATTAAACTATGCGCCGAGGGACTCCGTGAGAGAATGAATGAATTGGTTTGAGAAGTACGATTCGAAGTGCGAATTTATAATTCTTAGAGAACTCGGTGACTGGGGAAGAGTCAACAGTTACTTGGTGGAGATTGGACCACATGAGAGGACCAGGTAGAAAATGCGAGTTGACACTTTTCATTATTTCCTGACTCCGATTATATTCAAACCTCAAGTATTGGATGACTCTAAAATGACACGAGTCCTGTGATCAAGATTTGACTCAATCGAACTCATTTCTCGATTATTTTCAAACCTCAAGTATTGGATGAGTCTAAAATCCCACGAGTCCTGTGATCAAGGTTTGATTCGGCCGTATTCATCATTTATGACTGTATTCTACTTTTACTATATTTTCGTAGAATTTTTTAAAATGCAACTTTGGATTATTTAATCGTTCTTTTCTATTTTATCGTTATTCTATTTATCAAAATAACAATAAAATAGAGAAGAACGAATAATTATCGAAATCTTACATCTGATATCAATATAGTTTTTAAAAAAACTCTACACTGCACGTGGAGTGGGAAGGGTTAGACACTCTGAAGCATGTTCGGAAGTTGGTGTTCAACCGGGAGACATGTCACCGACCATGTAAGATGAGAATTCCTGTGGTCACATCAGAAAATCCAGTTCATTGACCGAGGATGTAATCTCGCTTTAAGGTGGAGCCGTTCAAATTTTTGAGTAGCGAGTGAAGCCACGTTTTGCCAAACTCCTGATTGGAATTTGAAATATCAATATAAGAGAGCTAGTTGAAGACTCAAATGACATCTTTCTAAAATCCCGATACCCATCTATGCCTACAATCGAGTCAAACCAGACATTCCCGGCTCGAAGAAACAATCTCAGCGAGGCAAGGAATATTTGTCATTCATTGGATCACCGACTTGGATTTTGACGACCAATGCCAGCTACTGCGATGCATACAACGGGCCAGAGATACTAGTTGTGAACCTGCTGCAAATGGGTTACCAATGCTTCCCAGTTTCTCTCTTCTGGCAAATTCATGAATGTATTTTCAGGAATGAATAACAATTTAGGTGGTTGAAGACTCAGATCACATGTTTGCCAGGTAATTCTTAAATCCCGAGACCCATCTTTGGCTACAGTCGATTTACACCAGACATTAGCGGCTCGAAGAATAATCTCAGCGAGGCAAAGAAAATTGATCATTCATTGGATCACCGACTTTGAGTTTGACGACCAATGCCAGATGCTGCGATGCGTACAACGGGCCCGATCTACTAGATGTGAATATGCTGCAACTCGGTTACCAATGCTTCCCAGTTTGTCTCCGACTCTCCCTCGTTCTCATACACGGCTGATGCCGCTTTCCCCCTGAGCACAACTGCCCTGTGCTTCGCGTGCTTTCCTTCGTCTCCTCTCATGACCATTCGGATGCCAGTCTCAATATCCTTTTCATCCAGAAACGAACGTTGCTCCTTCGCAGAAAGCAAATTGGCAACGAATGACATTATTGCATTTGCAAGTCCTGCTCTCGCGGGTGGTGGTTGTCCCATATTTTTTGTCAATGGTATGGCCATCTCCAACACGTTCGATAGCAATCTGCACCATACACAACGATACACATCATTTACATCTCCAGATGACTAGAGATCTAGAGCGCTGATGGTTGCATATGGCTGCAGCTCTATTGCAAATCGATAGAATTGCACGGAGAATCAAAATGGTGTCAGAGCGTGCTGGTAGGAAGGAAAAAGAGACTGGAAATTGTTTTTCGTACCTGGCGTTCGCATGCTGGTCAGATATTTGAGGCCAAGCAAGAACTGGAATCCCAGCTACTACAGCGTCGAGACAAGAAGTCCAATCACAGTGTGATAGGAAAGCAGCGACACACGGGTGGCACAGCAGCTGCGTTTGGGGAACCCATCCTCCCACTATCCTGCCTCGTCCCTCGACGCGTCTTTGAAGGTCTGCGATCATGGCGAGTTCCGTGTGGGTATGGTCTTGAGAGAGAACCCACACAAACCTTTCCTGACAGCTCTGCAGCGCATGAGCTAGTGCCACAATTTCCTGAGGATGGAGTCTTGAGATGGTGCCGAAGTGCACGTAAAGGACGCTGCAAGGAATTTGTCGATTAAACCATTCGATACACCTCTGAAATCCAGCTCCGAACCTCGCTCCAGTGCTCTTGCGGCTGAAAAGAACTTGAATGGGGGGGATCCTCATCCAGCTGGTGGAAACATCTTCAGCTGCCGCGGAGTGTGACAGCCTTCCGGAAGTGATATCGTTTGACATAGGACCTATTAAGAATAGCTTCGTGTCCTGGGGGCAATATCGAAGGAAGTATTATATCGAAGGAAGCATTAAAAAAACTCGTGAACCATCACTTTATTACAAGTTTCACATTCACAGGCGGATCAGACGCTAACGGAACCTTCTAACCTTCGGCCTAGTAGACAAGCTGGATCTCAGACAAGGGTTTGAAGTAGTGAGTACCATGGCTGAGCCACTTGGCTTGGGAAGCGCGTTCTGGATCGAATTGATTGTGTCTAGTTCCAGATCCTCAAAGGTATTTATCACCAGTCCAGCTGCTCCGATGAGAAACTCACCGGTTGCCAAGCTTTCTGCAGGATAAGCAGAACAAGACCATAACAAATCCCTGGGCCGCAGAAACGTGAGACCCGGAGCTTTAACGATTTTATCCACTCCCGAAAGCCTGTCTCCTTTAACCTTCAGTTTCCGTTTAATGTGTAATTCGTGCGCGACCTGGTGCATTCGCGCCTCCATTGCACTATTGCCGAAGAAGACAAACCATGGGATCTCCAACCTCTTGGCTACATCCTGTATATAGGAAACTCATAGTTACTCTCCTCTTCACTCTCCTCTAAACCCAAACATCATGTTCTCACAGCCGGCCAGTCAAATGATGAACTACTCTCGACTATGAATAACACAAACTGTGCAAACGTCTCACGCTGATAAGTCTGTACACTCAAAAAACTCCTTATCATTTCTTTCCATTCTTTCGGATATTACTCAGAGCTTGTACACATTGCAATGACATATCGCCTAGCTTAAACCAAGAACAATAACTGTCACGTCTAGAACGATGAGAGCGTTCCTCCGTACGAGAATAGCGCAAAGTGATGTCAGGATCAATACATTCATCTAATAATATTGAATCGCCATAAGGTATAAACCGCAGAGTAAGTGGTTCTTTATCGATTTAGAGTTAGAGGAGTTTTGTAGGGTGGTCAAACCGACATGCAAATCGCTTAGGCAGCCAGAGTATTGAGCCATCAATTAGTTTGCACAGAGACAAGGTGAGAGAAATGTGAGGGTTTAAGAGCATAGGGGCGAGACCTTCGACCACGGTAGGTATCTATCCGCCATCAAACATGTAAAAGTGATTTCTTTGGCCTCATCATTTCTCGCGTCGATTAGTTTCTTCAAGTAAGGCATGAATGAATCTTCCATGCTCTTGGACCTGTTGAACAATCTGTTCCTCGGTTCCTCCAGACCCTCAACTTCGACGTTCCCAAATGATGGGGCTGAGAAGACCTTCTTAATTTGATTAACATATTTCTTGAGTGCTACAAAGGTCACCTTCACATTTTTGGACGTAAGACCCAATGCCAGCCTACAACAAGCTGCAACATTCTCCTGGCTCGGAAAAGCAATCAAGAGGACGCGTGCCTCCGCCATGTCAACTGCTGTAAACTGTACGGCAGTGATGGCAGAATCTGTCGAAATCTGAAAAACGGCAAAAGTCGTTACTGTAAGTAGAACGCCATGTCTTTGCTCATGAGCAGAAGTAAAATGTACATAAAATTCACAGTGAAGGATTTTTTGCACATTCCTGGAAGGAATCCATTATTACTTTTACCTCTCTAATCAAAACATATATACTGTAAGTCCTTTCAGGCAGTCTGAGCAAGTGTTCACAGGATTTCAATGCAACTTATCCAATGATAGAGGGTTGAAATGATGAACGATCTTATACGAAATAAAGTCGATTCAGCAATACACTTGATTCTGAAGCTCGTCGACATCTTGGGGGATATCTGCTGATGACAGTATGAAATGTACACCAATCTGACAGACTTTTCCAGCTCAATTGTGTAGAGGAGTAGATGAACTTCACACCTGAAAGAGATGTTGAGCCTTGAGCTTCCACGATTTTGGCCGATCTACTCCCTCGATCAACCGGAAGCGATGCTGAAGCAATCATCTTCTTCAGCATGTTCCTCAATCTGAAACACGTTTATAGTTGTCAACTGAATGGACGTTGATCACACTGGCATCCGAAACAGAAGGACTTATCTTCGCGGCCGGTTCAAATTTCCATTCCAACGTTATCAGATCGTAGTTCAGGTTACAAATTACAAACGACGTTCATTCGTTGAAGTCGTAAACAAGTCGGCTATGTGAGGTTCAAGCATGACGTTAACTACAGAAAGTCTAGTGAACATGTGAATGGTGTTGCAATATCAGAGACATCTTCTGGGCTGCAAATTTACTTCTGAACACGGGAGAAGCATCGCGGGGCATCAGTACGATGGTCTTCTGACAGATTTTGGAACTACACTAAAAGTCCTTTATATAGAATATATGTCCTAGTAACTATTGATGGTACATCACCTAAGGGTTGGTCCAGCACAAAAAGACAGCAGAGAGTTGAAGTCTCTAGTTTTGGATCACTATGTCTACAAGCCAGCATTAGATCTTCCTTAGTAGTTGATAATAGTAGGTCTACAAGAATCAACATCAATCAAAGTTATGTTTAATTTAATACCATAGGCTATCATGAAATGCAATGCTAATGTATCTTTCTTCTCATCCATGAAGTTAAAGAGTTTTTCTCTTCATATTGATTTTAGGCTGTTTGTGCAAGACTTATAGAAATAAGTCGGATACAAAATATAGTAGCAATGAATATGTCCATTTAGAGAATAATTAAAAGCTCTATACAAATTATGAAGTTTTTGTAATTTATTGTAGATAAAGACGGTTATAAACAAGATAATTTGTAGTTTATAACCTCTACCGTTTTAGAGCTAAGACATGCCTAGGCAAAATCAACGTTCATTAATAAGCATTTTCGGTTAATAAATTTGATACATAGATAACTTTGATGACAATAGGCATCCATTTAATGGGAAGCGAATCCCACACCTCGTAAATCCTAAGTGTAAATTTGTCAAGCTTATGTTATAGAGTCTAGGATTTTACTTTATTTTTGGATTTCGGTTATAGAAGCTCTTAGAGGAGCACAAGCATATTCGAAAGGAGACTACAAACTCCAACCAGCAAGTTGTGGGTTAAAATTAATCTTTGAAGACTGAACCTCAATCTAGCTTTTGGATGGGTCAGAATGAAGTGAAAAGTTTAACTTTGTGCTCACTAATACACCCAAGTCTCTATTTTGATTATCTTGATGGTTTTTAGCAAGTGCAGTATTAAGTGCTTCAACAACATGAAGTTGGAATATGATAATACTCAAGAAGAGTCTTTTTATCATGGATTGTACAACTTTAATAGCCGGTACACCTCTAACCTTTGGCTTCAAGAAAGTGACTCCACGAGACGGAGCTTGGAACAAGACGAAGTAAATACACTTGAAGTGGATTCTGCCTTGGTTAAAATTTTCATGAATCATCCGCCCTCCTTATATATGCAAAGTTTTTTGAATCAACAGATAATTCAGGAAAACCAATAAATCGGAAGTTCAACCAACATAGAATCCACTCCAAGTGAGCATACTCCATACTGTTTCCAGCTTTGCCTTGTGGAATCACTTCCTTGGAGCTAGGGTTAAAGGAGTACCTGCTATTAAAGCTGTATACTTTACATAAAATCACGTTCATGAGCACTATTATCCTCCAACTATCACGGAAGCAGTTTATGAGTCATTGCTAAAAATCAAAAAGATCATCGAAACAGAAATTTAGTAGTAATTAGCACGATGTAAAACTCCTCACTTCATTTTAACCCGGCCAAAATCCAGACCTATGTTCAACCCTTCATGGATTTCACACACAATCCGCTAGTTGGTGTTGGCAACTCTTTCCAAATTTGGGTGTGCTGCCCTTACAAACTCTATAACATTAAAATAAAATAAGATTGAATAACATTTTTAAAAAATTACAAAAAAACTAGCCTTTATAACCAACAAGAATGTTGGGGATTGACAAAGCAAGAATTTAGTCCGAAGTAATCTATGAATCGATTTCAACTATAAAACTTGATTATGAAGTAACGTTGTGAGCCTATTTGAGAGCCTGCAACAAGCAGCAACATTGTCCTGGTTCGGAAAAGAAATCAAGAAGACGCGTGCCTCCGACATGTCAACTGCTGCAAACTGTTGAAATGGTGATGTATTCCGGTGATGGCAGAATCTGTTGAAATGTGAAAATCAGCAGAAATTCATAACTGTAAGTAGAAAGCCATGTCTCACTGCTCATAAGCAGAAGTAACATGCGCATAAATCTCACAGAGTAAGGATTTTCAAGATTACTGAAAGAATCGATCATAACGTTTACCTCACTAATAAAAAAAACTACAAACTGTAAGTCCTTCGAGGCACTCTGAGCAAGTGTTCATTCAGATTTATACTATTATCATCTATTACGGAAGATCTAAGGCTGGGCTAGAAACACAGTTATGAATCACTGTGTTTCGAGAGAGTTCAACTCTCGGCTGTCTTTTTGTGCTGGACCAACCCGTGGGTGAAGAATCGATCATAACGTTTACCTCACTAATAAAAAAACTAGAAACTGTAAGTCCTTCGAGGCACTCTGAACAAGTGTTCACAGGATTTCAATGCAACTTATCCAATGATGCAGGGTTGAAATGATGAACAATCTTATACAAAATACAGTCGTTTCAGCAATACACTTGATTCTTAACCTCGTCGACATCTTGGGGTATATCTGCTGATGAAGCTATGGAAATGCACACAATCTGACAGATTTTCCAGCTCAATTGTGTAGAGTAGATAAACTTCACACCTGAAAGAGATGTTGAGGTCTGAGCTTACACGATTTTGGCCTATCTTCTCCCTCATCGACCCGAAGCGATGCTGAGGCAATCATATTCTTCAGCATGTTCCTCAGTCTGAAAACACGTCTATAGTTGTCAACGGAATGGACGTTGATCACACGGGCATCCAAAACAGAAGGACTTATCTTCGCGGCCGGTTCAAATCTCCATTCCAACGTTATCAGATCGTAGTGCGGATTACAAATTACAAACGACGTTCATTCGTTGAGGTCTTAAACAAGTCGGCTACGTGCAGTTCAAGCATGACGTTCACAACAGAAAGTCTAGTAAACATGTGAATGGTGGTGCAGTGTCAGAGACATCTTCTGGGCTTCAAATGTACTCCTGAACACGGGAGAAGCATTCCAGGGCATCAGTACGACGGTACTCTGACAGATTTTGTAACTGCACTACACAGTACCACCATAAATTACTTTGTTTGGAATTTATGTCTGAGTAACTATTGATGGTACATCACCCACGGGTTGGTCCAGCACAAAAAGACAGCCGAGAGTTGAACTCTCTCGTTATGAATCACTCTGTTTCTAGCGCAGCCTTAGATCTTCCGTAGTAGATGATAATAGTAGGTCTACAAGAAGACATAAATCAAAATTTTGTTTGATTTACTAGGAGAGGCTAGAACGAAAGTATATTTCTTCTCATCTTTTATATTACACAGTTTTAATTTTCTAGTCCATTATGTTATCCAATTTACGAATTAGTATAAGACTGTTTGTGCAATACTAACAGAAATGAGTCGAGCACAACACAAAGGAGCACTGAATTTCCAATTAGAAAGTTATATAATAAAATTATAAAGTTTTTAATATGTATAAAGTTTTTATAATTTATTGTACATGAAGAATCTGAAATTTCTAAACATTTTATTTAGCTATTGCACATTTATTTCTCGCCCTAGCTCATATCATATCACTTAAAGAATTGCAGATCTCTCGCAAAAGATGTAATTGTGTACACGTAACCAAATCATATTCAGCAAAAGCGACATTTGCGTTTCCTGATCGTATTTAGCTTTCTTATTGCATCTCTTTCGATATCTTCAATTTTTATGCCATTCTTGGATTATTGTTTCTCAAATCTTGAGCTTTCCACAAGTTGATGGACTTAAAATTATAAGCGGAATAGAAAAGACACATTTGTAGCTTCTCTCATCCAGCGTCTGAAGAATTTTTTCCGCTTCGTCTAGTAAGATAAAGCTCTCTAGCTAGATAGCTGCCTCTAGAGCATGAGGCGGATCTAGATTCTGGTAGCAACCATCAAGCTTACTCCATGCAGGCCATAAGCATACTTGCAGTAATGTTCAATACGGCAGTGCCCGTTGGTTGAATCTATCGACTGAAATTCTAATTCAGATCCGCTCCTTGAGTTTCATTGTCTCAGCAAATAAGTTATATCATGGAGTCAACATCAACTGCATCCCTTTGGTCTTTTCTTTCCGCAAACTCTTTCTTTTCTTTCCGCCGTTTTCAAATTGCATCATTCTCTTTCAAATTGCATCATTTTGAGACTACAGTCTCAAAATGAAAGCACAGTACTCAGAAATTACCGACAGTGGACTATTTAATGGCTCCCAAGAATCATATCAACCAGTAAGACCAAAATGAATTTGAAATGATAATCTTGAAACGCTAAATTCAACCTTTGAAATCAACGTTCGGATCAATTTGACAACAAACGTACAGGTTGAAATTTGTTCTTTCTAGATCTCACACACTGATTCAAACGAAAGTCTGAAGACTTCCGTTTTAGTCAGCTGATCGTCCCATTTGTTTGGATTTTCGATGTACTTCAAACTCTAAAATAAATGAGTTTTAAACGATGGATGAATGAGTTCCCTCATTCATCCATCGCTTATTTTCATTAAAAGCCTAGCTGATACGTATAATATATGTAACGTTCTAGCATATTATTGAAAGTCAAACCTAAACGGCCTCTATTTAGTCTTCATATTTCATCATTCCAAGACATTCTCACGATGCGATAGGTCTAAAATTAGCAGTATAGGTTACGTACGGTATAATTTACCGTTATAAAGCTTTCAGTTTCACTGCTAAGTAAGGTTATAAACGGAAAAGTATCACCATCCAAAGATCCAGAGAGAACACTCCACTGAATTGTTTAGGTGTTGAATTGAAACACTGAATACAAAACCCGGCTTCAACTTTTCTGAATTGTCTGCTTTGGGATAACTTTGTAATATCTTTGATCTATTATGAATCTCGTAAACTTCAAAGAATGAGATCATAACTTTACTGGAAGACTTTTTCATGGGAAGAAATAGTTTTTATTCTCTTCATTCGGAAATATCTGAAGTTTTTTTATTTAAGTTCTAAATGGAATTTTAGAATTTACAAATTGTGATTTAAGTTCCCAGGAATGTTAGTATAGAATTTTCACAAAAGAAAACTACATTGGAGATTATAAATTTTGTAGTTCTTGCTGCCAAGTAATATCCTGCTTAGAGATAGGCAGTGCTCAGAGCAGTGCTTATATCTGAGCAGTGGTTCGGAGGATTTTCCTTGGCAGCAAGAAAAGCAATGTAGTACTACAAGGTTTATAATCTCCAGTAAAATTCTGGGATTCTAAATCACAATCGGTAAAATCTAAAATGAATAACATAATAATGAGTACTAAAAAATACCATTTAGTACTCATTCAAGAAATTTTAGATACATGCATGAAGAGAATAAAAATCTATCTCTGGTAATCGGAAAAGTCTTCCATGAGTATTATAATCTCATTCTTTGAAGTTTAAAAGGTTCATAGCAAACCAAAGGTAGGACGAAGGTTTTTCAAGGCAGACAGTCCAGAAAAGATTAAGCTGAGATAGATGAAATTGGTTTTCCATCAAATATAATTGATTCTTCTCGTCTGACCAAACGTGGCAGCTCCACTCCCACGGGAGGTTTTCGACGTTGAAAATAAGAAATCGTGGATGTGAATTGGTGTCACTCAGTCCCCATGTGCAATCGACAAAATTTACTCATGCGTTGGTAGTTACAAGTTCTCGATTACAGCAGAAACCAAGCGCAGCTTCAGAACGGTTGAAGCTCGACATCTTGAAGCGCGTCATGTTTTAAACTTGAAGATTGTGTAGGTTTTAATTGACTAGACAAGCGGTTAGTTACAAGACTTGGATTTCAGAATCACATAACTACAATTCATGGTGAAATACAAGAGAACGTGGCAGTTTGTAGCGAACTAGTAGAAGAATTGTGTGATGTGAATGATACACCTGACACGGTTGAACTATTGAGGAGACTTTTCTTCGCTATCTCACAAGCTATTGGCAACGCGACACAAAATAGCCCGAATCAGAGTTCAAGAGTTTGGATTTTGGTTCTTTACAGGAAAACTTATTGGTTTTGGTTACTATTGTGCTTTTGATGACTTCACTTATTCTATGTAATTGTGAGTAGTAGAGTTTAGCATAATGCACGTGTTATTGACTTCTAACAGTGCAAAAATGTAAAGATTTAGTAAAAAAGTTATGCTAAAATACTAGCATAATAAAACTTTGGAATGCAATTTTATTCTTTTCTTGACTGTTGTAGAAAATGTTATTATCTCTTAGAGATCATTCAAGTCTCAATTTTTTTCTATCTTAAACTAGAATCTTAGATCTACATGTATTCCGAAGTCTAATCTATAATATTATGAACAAATTATCCTCATGATATAAAATTTGATAGTTGCTGACATTGATTAGTCCATGTAAAGTTTTCTCCTACCAAAATTTTATCACCATATATTTTAATTTCTTTTCTATCACATCATCGATGCAAGAGAATGCAAATTTCCAACCATACCATGAAAGTAAAAAGTATATGAACTAGTAATATATAATTATTATTATATGAGTTGATGTCATGATGTGTATGAATAATATATGAAAAAAAATTTATTATTTATTCATGTTTTATATTGAATTTATTTTGTATAAAAGAGAATTATAAAGTACATTTACAATCTCCAGAAGTCAATTCTGAAAATCTTTATGATCCACATCTGGTGCTTTCTATTTAGGTGTATAATGTTCTAACTTTCATCAAAACTTTCACAAACAGATATACTTTGTTTCAACCCATAAAATTATACCACTATTGTAATCTTCATACAACTAGCATTGATTCTAAGTTCATATATTTGCACATGAATATTCACATCAATGATTATATCACATCATGTTCATATCACTTATACTTTAAATTTCAAGTGTTAATTGTCTTGCTTAATTACTAGGAGCAATTTACACAAATAAATTCTAGATTTAAGATTCAGCATTCTGATCTATATTTAGATTCACATCATGACTAAAGTTAACTTTATCTGTGAACTTCACCCATTCAATGCTTCGCACTATAACCAAATCAAGTCCTATTTTTAGCAATCTATGGTTCTAGATGGAACTTATCAAATCACATTTAATTTTCTCAAAATTCACAGATTTTACTACAAACATCATTTCAGACATTTGAATAAAAAATTATAATCTATATATGTACTCATATATATGTACTTTTGGCTCATAATCACATGATTGAAAAGTGATCATAATAAAGTAGAGCGCGTTTTTTCTTCAAAGACTCAAATTTATTGCACTAACTACGTTTAAGTTCAAACACTAAGCTTCGAAAAGTGCTATAAGGGCGTTGCTTATTTAAACTCTAATTTTAAAGCTTGGGGATTACAAGTAGCTCTTAGCTCCAATATCAAGTTTCGTGACAAAGTTGATAACTGTACTTTTGACTCTTATTGTTAAATCTGCTATTGCGTATCTGCTTCTAATCAACTACGTAAGTTTAGAATCATGGATAGATTCAAATAATAAATACATATTAATCTTGATAGAGTATGAGGTCAACCTACCATTACAAATATGTATATCGAACCACTTGAAATAGAGGTTTCTTAAAAGTTCTTTATCCATAAATTGTATATACTTAAAGCACTTGCTACAAGAAGTCAGCAATTCAATGTTTCTTATTATCAATTTATCTGGAAGATGAATTTTATGTGAAAATGGTTGAGATTTTACTAATCTGTTCAAATGTGAACTCTAAGATATTACTCACTTATAATATTTGCAGCATAATTGTTGCATGTTTCTGGATATTCCAAATCTTGTTAGAAGTATAGTGTATAAGGACATGATCCATATTTTAAACAACAAAACTTAGTCGCAAACTGTAGAGTAAGGGAATCCACCAAATCAACATCTTAATTCGCTGACATTATGAAAAAAATTGGGGAATCTTTGGTTACAGCCACGGCACATTTGTTCATGTTTGGATATCTGCACAAACAATAAGTGAAACGAATATTCGCCGTAACTTGCTATAGCTCTCATGGAAGTAATTTGTAAGTATTAATCATGATATTATCATTGAAACATCGAAGTTTGTCTCAGTGAGAAGTCATTCTATAACATCCTAGAAAGTCATGTATTACGCGATACATTTTTTTCTGTTTACAGCTTAATCTACCTATCTTGAAATATCTTTAAAAATACGAAGTATCGAATTAGCATGCTTGAAAATGTTCATGCGGCCAGCCACACCCTCCGTTGGGAGAGTGACTTGGAAATGGTGCCAACATGCCATGAATTTTCAGCAGTGCAAGGACACTGTCCTTGCAGACTTGGATGTGGTCTGTCCTTGGGACAGACCACATTGCAGAACAATACTGATCGCAAAACACTCTGAATACTGTCAAGGCACGACTGTCTGCGTACCTCGATTCGCCAGTCTGAACTGGAAGGGAAATGCAAGAGACTCATGCAATCGAGCACTCCCCATGTCTCATAACGAACTCGGTAGTAATTCCTGCACCGAACTGGCCAGAGCTGCGTACTGTTTCTGAAAGTGATCACGAAGTACATCAGGACATTTGCGATGTCATGTCTCACAGTAGCTGAGAGGAGAAGCCAGAGAGCCTCAAGCAGAAATTAGAATTATAATAAAATTAGAAGGCTCATTCGTCGGTTGGCGTGCAGAGAGAGCTTCGAGAGTTGACGAATGTCAGTCAGGCAGAAGAAAAACGGACAGAGATCTAGCGACATGTCCCCGAGACGCGACCCCGACCGCAGGATTCAGACATCCCGGCCGCCGGGAAATGGGGGCCTGGATGCCGGGAGTGACTCAGGTCCCCTGGTTCTGTTTCTCTAGGGGGTCCTTCCCAGCGGACAGACAGACAGACCGACAGGGCGCCCGACCGATGACGCGATTGTCCGATGATGAGATAATAGGTCGCGACTCGAGGGGTCCGGACCCTGTCGTCGCTTGCGCCAGCAGGGGGCCGGGCGCGACGCGACGTCTGGGCCTGCACACCCGCCGACAAGGAGCACTTCGGGTTCTCGTTGCTCTCTCGATTTCTCTGTCGCTCTCTCCGGGCGCCGCATGAATCGAATTCGAAGGCATCGGGAATTCGGAATGCATCGGAATCGCCCCAGGCCCCAGAGCTTCAGATTGACTTCGGTGGCATAAGCCGGATTCAAATCGGTCGCAGGTGCTTTTTCCTCCATAGCTGCTCACACGGAGTCTGGCGGCCTCTTGCTCCCTGCGCGTCTGAAAATTCCTGCGCATCGGTCGTTTTGTGCTGCTTGAGGAGATGGATCGGGTTCCATTGAGCCGAGGGCGAAGCTACGACCTGGAGTACGCGTTTAGTGCAGAGGTGGAAGAGTCGAGCTGGTCTTCGAGCAGAGTTTGTCCTGTAGCCTCCGACACTCGTGAGTCTGAGTAGTGCAGAATGGTGGCCGGACGACAAGCGCCAGAACGAGGCCTGGGGAAACTGTGCCGGCTCTGGACTAGGGGAATGATGCTTCCAGACAGGATTTCTCAAGTTTTATGAATTGATGACCATCGCATGTGGAGCTGAGGTAGGAGTGGAGATCGGAGGTGAGGCGACATGACATTGTACGAGTAGAGAGAACTGCGACGGTGGTGCATTCCGGGGCAAATTCAATTCGTTTCCACGTCTGGGAAGGGGAGACGTGCGCGTGTCACCTGTGACGGGGAAGCGACGAGCAAAGCCATGTGACGTGATGTGATGTGAAACGATGGTAAGGGCAGGGGTGAAGGCAAGGTGTCGTAAGCATGGAACATTTCAAACACGATGACGATGCGGTTCAATAGGTTCTCCGTAGTAAGGAGCTGCAGACACGCAGGAGCTTGAAATTCAGCATATTTTTTGTTCACGGTCTATCAGCGATCGATGAATTTCGATTTGACTCTTCTGGATAGCTATTATGAGGTTGCCGAAGATGGTGACAAACAAGCAGCTCTTGATCAACGGAACGTTCACGGCCGGCTCTCTGAGCATAGCAGGAGACTGCCAGAAGCCGAAGTTCTTGGTTCTAGAGTTGAAATCACGGGCACTTGTGAACAGACCGGCAATTTACCTCAGCAAGATGATGCCCACGATATGTCTGGGAATCAGCCAAAACAGGCTAGAGTCCCTCTCGATTTCCAACAGGATGTATGTCTCCAAGATATTCAAGCCAAAGGCAAGACTGTCAAAGCTCAAGGGAAAAGACGGCCAAATAAACGAAGGCCATTCTCGCCTGAGCAGCAACGCGTTATTAAGCTGGTCAATGAAGGAAAGGTAATATTGAGAATTGGTAATTCTAATACTTATGCCGTTATACGCTGCCCAATGAAATAGTGAGATTTGTCTTGAGTATGAGGGGTACTTAATACAAGACAAGAAATGGCTCGCTTGGTCTTAGGGAAGCAGGAAGTGTGACAGTACTAATGTCGGCGTTTCATTGTACACTGAGACTTTTCTTGGCCTCAATTTGCAGAATATATTCTTCACCGGTGCAGGGGGAACTGGCAAAACTTATGTGCTCAAGTACATAATTGCAAGTCTGAAGAAGAAGTTCGGGATAAAGCATCGTGCACCTCAGCCAGGTGCCGTCGAAGGTTCAATTGTGTACTGCACATGCTTCACTTGCAGCGTGGCTGTAACTGCTGCTACCGGGATCGCTGGTGAGATAATCAACGAACTGGAAATAGCTGGCCGCGAGCTAATTAAAACCATTTGTTCTTTACAGTCTTTATCACTTTTCGTTATGATTTGTGCTCTTGAGTTCGAGTAGAGATTTTGTTGGAGATTCGAAGCACTTGAAGATGTCGAGTTTGAGGTTGTTTTCGTTGGTGGCATGTATTCGGAAGCTTTGGCAATAGGAGGAACTACGTTGCACTCGGCCACGGGCATTGGGGTTCCACGCAGGATTCGCGATTTTGCCCGCATGTATCAAACTAGGGTGAAGACGAAGTGGCGAAACTTAAAGGTGCTGATTATTGATGAGATATCAATGATCAGCGCCGAAGTGTTTGAGTACCTGGAACAAACTATAACTGAAGTTCGTAAGGCCTCAGAGGAGGAAATGGATCTAGAGGAAGCGACTGCCCTTCGGTCTGTAAACGAGGCGGATGTAAGGCCAAAAGAGGAGCAATTTCGGCCCTTCGGAGGTCTTCAGGTCTGCAAATCATTTTCCACGACTGAGTATCGAGTCTATTTGCGCTTTAGTCATACTGCTGTGACGTCTTGACTGACTTAAGGTTTAAGCCGACCTTCAGAAATTATTTGGTAGATATCAAAGTTAGAAACATGCTGAAGCAAAGCAATTCATGTGAATGGATTAGGAATAGACTTAATTATAGAGGATTTTAGATTCACTTTCTGTCTTCTTTAAGCTGGATGAAGCCGTAAATGTCGGTTGTGAAGCTAGTTTTTGTGTTCAGAAATATGTCTACTAGTTATTAAGCCGCAAGTCTGCTGATGGCTGTCATCACTGCATCTGAAGGTCAAAATGTTCTGCTAATATGATTGCTCAGTAGTGTTGTGTTGTCTTAACCATCTACGAAGCCTGCGTCATATGGCTCTTGTGACCTGAATGTCTTCCTTTTTTCATATGGCTAAGCATCAGATGATAGTAACAAATGCATATTTGTTGGGCAGGTGATCCTTGCTGGAGATTTTTTTCAATTGCTCCCAGTTCTGAATAGATTTGACGATTTCACTGTTAAGCCTACTTGGGACGAGTTGACAAATAGGGGCCTGGCATTTCAAGCGCCAGCTTGGCAGAAGGCAGAGCTAGAAGTTGTCGTCCTTCAGATGATGTTCCGCCAGGTTTGGCCCCTACCGAGTTTACCTTCTTGCTCTCCTTCAACACATCTTTTGCATCCTTATCCACTCTTGCTCAATGTATGTCCTGTTTTCTCTTTCTCATTTGTCCCGGAGAACAGATGAGAAAGGGAAAAGAGGACATATATATTTCCATATACATATATTTGGCAAACAGAGGCTTGAACACTAAATAGGGTAATGGAGTTCTGCAGCTTTACTCCAGATATCCGTATAACGATCGAATGCTTAACATGTATTTGCTGGGATTTCTTTACCACTGGTCACCTGTACTAACCACCACCTTAAACGATGCAGAATGATAAGGATTATTTCGTCAAACTGCTGCAGAATATTAGAACAGGGCTTAACCCAGATTCCGTCGAGGAGATAGTTCTGAAGTGCTCCAGGGAGCTGAAATGTGAACATGGGATAAAGCCTACACAACTCTATCCCAGGTAGCCTGGGGAAGCTTTTTATGTGTAAACTTCCATGTGATTTCCATGTGATGTCCACAATAGAGAAGAAACATTTATAAATTTTGAAGTAGATATCTTTTGGGGAAGCTACTATTGTTGTCCATGTCAGATAGTTGGGAACCTCATAGCTTATTCTTCCAGTTTAGTGATACAAGCTCAGAAGCTGACACCCGAATCCTTCCGCTAGACGGATTGTAAGATCAACATGTGACAAAAGTGGAGGATGAACTTGTACATAAAACCTGAACATATGTTTTTATGCAGAAATAAGGAGGTTAAAGAGTTGAACGAAAAGGAGCTGACAAAACTTCGTACAAGAGAGGAGGTCATCATAAGTGTTGACACCTTCGAGACGTCTGAAGAGAAGCTGCTGCTTAAACCCTCTGAATTGGACAATCTTCAAGCAGTCTGTCGGCGTCATGAAAGGCACAAGCGCATGCTACAAGATCATGGCTTTTGGCATGCATGCATAGCTGATCAAGTCCTACGTTTGAAGACCGGGGCACAGGTATGCGGTGAGTCAGTGTGCCCATGGAACACATTGGCTTCGTTTGCCCGTAGCAGCTAGAATAAAGTTCCTTATCCATGAAACCTGTTGTTCAGCTCAAGTGTCTCCTAGGATGTCTCATATCTGGCAGAATGCATCACATAGTGATTCTTGTTTTCTCATGTCATATATGAAGTGCAAAAATGGCAATTGAGCATTGTAAAAATTTTAGCCATGTCAGGCTCTGCCGAGGAAGCTTTGTTGATGATTGTACATTTTTGCAGGTGATGTTGATTCGCAACATCAAGCGTCCCGGTAGTCAGAAACTGTCTTTGGTGAATGGCTCTCGTGGAATCATTGTCGGGTGGACTGAAAGAACGCATGCCCTAGATGAGCTTGCAGAAGAATTTCAGAAGGCCGGTGAAGGTGGCAAGAAGAAAACTTCAATGTTTGACTGGATGAAAAGTATTGATGATAGCAACTTCGAGATGATACCTCGAGTAAAATTCAGGAATGGTCAAACATTGAATGTACTGCCGATGAACTTTGATTTCGAAGTCTTAAATGTTGGAGAATGCACAAGGATACAGGTGAACCGTCTTCAAGCACGCTACTCTGCGCATGTCAGTTTCTCGATAGGGGCTTCTTGAGTATGTGAAAATGAACATCGTTTGGTCGTTGATGATACAAAGATTTACTCAAACGTTTTGCTATTTCTAGATTCTTCCGCATTTTCTGGGTCCACTGTATAGATGTAGAATAAATGTTTCTTCAACAAGTATTATAATGCTGTGCATATACGTCTAGCAGATACCCTTAAAGCTGGCATGGGCTCTCACTATTCACAAATGCCAAGGTAACCACTTTTATTTAATCTCACATTGCAGTCTAGTCGTACAAAAATTGTTTGTTACTAGTTTTAGATGCCTCGGTGTTTTAGATTCTTGAAATTGACAATATTATAGAAAAACTAATGAGAATTCCAAATTAGTTCAATGGAAAGTCCCTCTATATGTATTGAATTAGCATCATTTTCCATGTAGACTCAGCTAACGTCATGTTATCGGGTTTTGCTCACTTCCAGTCTTAGGACACGTCATTACAAGTCTTTGCTAAGTAGTGTTTTTGGAACAGGAATGACCTTGGATTATGCAAAGGTAGCTCTTTCAGGCATATTTGCAGAAGGACAGGCCTACGTTGCGCTCAGTCGTGTGCGCTCCATGGATGGACTGCAGATTCTCAACACTAGTCGGTCACCAGTAGTAAGGTATTTTGTTTACTGTCAAGTTTAGCTCGCTCTCTTCTTTTCGAGCTGCTCTGTTGTATGTTTTCCATGTGCCATTATGGAGTCTTTCTGAATGTGTAGGCAACTTGAAGGAAAAATTCAAAGTCTTGACACCGCTGCTCGTCCAGCTGTGGCAAGTACAAACGAGCTCACTACCCTTGTTCATTGCACTACAGAGTTAACAGGGATGTGCAAGAATTTTATCACGCCATAGAGAAAGGCGAAGAGCATCGAGGCCAGATATTGAGGTTCAGACAAGTGAGAGTTCATCGACGGGACAAATTCCGAGTAAGGAACTTTTCAGATTCAGATTCCGACTCTGAACTGCAAGTGGTGGATGAACCAGTTGATCTAGAGGACCTCTGCAACTTAGGTGGTCGTGATTTGAAGCGTCCATCACGACCACCAGTTCCAAAGTATGTTAGAGAAGTAGATAACTTAAAATTCAAAGATACTAGGAAGCTGTTTTTGGCATCCCAGAAAACTAGTATTACCGAAACTGTTGCCCGGAAGTTCGATCAAAGACACGCGGAGAGTTTGAATATGATAACTCTCAGTAGACCTCCTAAAAAGTGGAAACGCGGTTCCGATGAATTTGGACATGAACACGAACCGGAAAGTCTTGTAGATGACGAGACGTAATGCTGGCTAGATCCACGTACCATCTTCGAAGTGTATATAACTTGCTCTAATCACTCATAAAGCTTGTAATTTTGCTCAAGATCATATATCGCTTTATAAATCTTCACGTCCTCGAAAATCTGTCGTGTTTGCGGACCCTTGTTCAGAATTTTAAAAACTGGAAAAATCGAAGTGTCACAAGGATGAGATTTTAGTTTTGAATTTGGCTCCAAAACACATCTCCTAGACTTTTCATATTAGGTACTTTGAAGATTGATAGGTATAAAAGTAGTGAGGAAGAAGTATCATGGTAACCATGCTATCCATAACTCTAATATTTACTTGGGTGTTGGTGGTGTCTTGTAGTGTAATGTGTACTTGTAAATATTGGTTATCTGATCATTGAAAATCTAACTCCTTACACGGCGTTCAAGTTTACAAGTTCTCGGTGCGAACATTGACATAAATACTCATATCACCGGGTGTCACACGGGCAAATGCTAAAAGTCTCCAACCTTGAGACAAGCACCCTCTTGCGTCAGCTACTGTTTGAAGCTAACCTAGTATATGACAGTTCTGTTTTGTAGCCTCTATGGAAGCTTATATCAAAATGAGCATGAGATATGTGGACTTTTAGTGCGTGAACAATGAAAGCTCCTGAACTATACAAGTGCATGAAGTGCATTGGAAGGGTTTCGTATGCTGCCTCGAGAATCTGAGAAGGCCCTTACAGTGCTAATCTTCTCGTACTCACATTGCCATAAGATCTCATACCTTATGTAACCGTGTAATAAGGATCGTTTCCGGTTAACACCAGTTCATGTTATGTAAGGTGTACTCTACTGTTTCCGATGAGAATGCTCTACTCAGCTCTGTAGAAGACAAATCCCTAGCCAATTTTGATTTAGTTACAACGAATACAGTCATGTGACATGCACAATACCAATCACCAAGGTGTTGCGAGAAGTATTGCTTAATTGTTGGTTGAAAACAATTCATTAGATTTGATATATCATGTACCTGGCTGCTCTTTGGCCAAACATATGACTTACATTTCGAGTCCATCAATTTGCTTTCTGGGTTCAGTTTGTGATTTGAAGTTTCACTTCAGCTTGTAAATCTTCCTCCGATCTGAATGTTTGGTTGACAGATGCTAAAGATGCTTCGGTTTGGATGGTTGGCATCCACTGGTGAACGTACCTGTATATTGTATAGGTACCATACTGTACTGATAATGCTACAGGTAGAGAGAGATGAGATCGTTCGAGATTCGAAAGTCAGTTTGGTGCAAAATGAGTCCAATGTAGAAACTACGCTGTTCCTATCTAGTATGGGCCTGGACATTAGGATTCCCCGCTCAATTGTAGGAGCATCGTTTCGCTTGTAATAGACGTCCGACATGAGATTTGATCTTGTACAAATTCCTCATCTGATTGTTCACAGCCACATCTGTCTCAAAAAAATTGAAATAATTTCAACCCAGTTCTTTTCATGTTCGTCTAGCTGTTGTTGCCCACGGCTTCAAAGGTGATGATTTTGCCAATGCCTTCAGCCTTCAACCGATTCGATCTGGTCTTCTTTTGACTGGACTAACTTAGGAGTCTCCTCACAAGCCCAACTCAAGGTGCAAATGTGGTTACCGTTGGCACCAAGAGAGAACTACGCAGCAGAAGCGCGTATGCTTTGCTTCGACTTGCAGCAGAGTTGAGTGAATACCAGTTTTTTGCAACGATTCTACTCTGCGTTGCTCAGCAGGTGTTTAGACTCGCTGTGCTTGCTGGATTCCATCACCAACTGCGGATGTCCTCCCGAACTTTCTTGATCTGGAGACCTACAGGCCCGAAGGTGCACATCAAGCATGCTTGTAATCTCTGACAATGTCGACGATCTCGGAATGAAGCTCTTTCTCTGGTTTCTTAACAGCTTGAATTCGAGTTGCTCCTCTCACTCTCAGGATCCAGTCCAGAAACACAGCAGCTGGCGAGTAGCTGGCACACTGTCTGTACAATTGGACAAAATTCCCTCTCCTACGACAAGCAGGCTCTTTCAGCTCAAACCATTACACACTTCGCCGAGCTGGACGCCAATACTCCATTCATGTGCCTCGAGCTTGATTACTATCAGAATCGGTTCAGAAGGTTAATGAACTCCTGCCTTACGGTCATTCCTTATAAAATGCCGTGAAGCTGTAGCACACCTCAACACCGTAAAATGGTGCCATCTAAGATCCGAGTATATTTTATAAAAGTACACATCAAGAACCTGTAAAACTTCGTACTGCGAACTGCCAAAACTCCGATTCGACAAATGTGGCAGCATTAGTGCGTGAGGACACGGCTTAGATCGCTCTTACATGAACAAATCTAAGCATGTCCACCGAATTAAGGACTCCTCGAAGCCTCTGTTAAACCCTGGGCCCAAGACTACTTCACATGGAAGGATGATTTAAAGTCGGTTGCCATCCGGAAGTGATATTGGTGAGTATCTACTATCCCCACGGAGATCGAGTCTAACGATGAGCAAACTTCGTACGACACAATCCGCCTACAAATCACCTTCCCAGCCTCCTAATCTTTCTTGGGGATCGTAGGTTGTAAAGAGCATGAATTCGTTGCCCAGCTTGTTGGAGTGGAGCGGACGGAACCTGCACGGACGAGCTTGCAGCAGCTCGCTAATGTTCTCGCGCTGCACGGCTCCCGTGAGAATCATCATCGGTGATGTATCCGGGCTTTTCGACAGGTACTTCATGGTCTGAACAGTCTTCTCCAAACACTCTCTGCTCAGGTATGGAGGATCGGCAACAACAATTTGACAAGCCTCGCGTAATGTCGGTGGGACATCCGTGGGGCGATTGTAGTCGTAGAAAACGAAGTCGTCCCCGAATTTGGAGAATCTCTCGTCGAACTCGAGAATTCGGACTGGCAGATCGGGATAGCTTTTCTTGAGCTGCGAGTACAGGGAAGGGCACGCGATGCAAGCAATCGGAGACGGTGACGGTGAAGAAGAAGAATCCTCACTCTGCAATCTCCGACTCAGAAAATAAATCTCGTCGGCCACCGTCGATGACGTACTCGCCTCGTACCAAAATTGACTCATCCGCCAATCCTCCTGCACCATGCCGAACTCTCCGCCCTCCGCCTCGGCTTCCTCCACCTTCTGCTGCTCCTTCAGAAACTCCTGCAGAACCGCCAGCGTGCTCGCGTTCAGCTGCGGAACATCGTCATCCTCCTCCTGCTCCTGCTCCTTTTCCTCCACCCTATTCTCCATGGCGCCTCTCGAGTTCGATCCTCGCGCAATCGAAATTCTCAGCCCTGCACGACCGATTCTCAAGCCTCGCCGAATGGAGCTGGAGCAGCAGCAGCTGCAGCGACAGAATCAGGCCCTCCCGTCGTCACGAGCTTTCGACGAGCTCCTCGGACCGCGAGCAGCAGAACGGAGGCCGGGCTCGAATGTAAGCGCAGGAGGTTTAGGGCTTAAGCCATCCGCGAACCCTAAACGACGATCATAGTGGCGGACTCGGGGTCGCGGACGCCGGCGAGCGGTGGGATCGGAGCAGCAGCGGAGCAGAGGAATCGAATTCGAGCTTGGGGGGCGGATGCATGAGCTTGAATTGAATGGCAGGGCGATGGAGACAAGCGCAGCGGCGCAAGCGCTGGACGGATCACGCAGCGCTGCTGCCAGCGGCGAGCTCGCGGGCGCTGGAGCCATGGGGCGAGCTGACGCGCCCGCTGGCGCAGCAGCTGCGCGCATTCGAGGCGCAGCCGTCGATCTACGCGCAGCTGGCGCAAGCGAAGCCGCTGGGGAACGCGCTGCTGCGGCTTCTCGAGCGCGAGGAGCTGCGATCGGATGCGCCGGCCGCCGCGAAGGCGAGCGTCCGAGTGTATTTGGAAATTCTGTTCGTGGAGAATTCGCGCCCTTTGCATCGCGGCCTGCTGGCCAGCCTCTGCCATGCGCAGGGCGCCGAGCTTAGCGCCCTCCTCGAGGACGCATTCCTCGAGCTGTGCCGCGAGTATGGCCCTGGAGGAGCGCGCGAGCGCAAATTCGCCGTCGTGGGCGTCGCTGCGTCGCTCGCCGGGCTGCCGCAGCCGGGCGTGCTCAAGGATGTGGCACGCAGGTCGGTGCCCCTCACGGCGCAAGCCGCTTGCCGTGACGTGCAGGCCGTGCTGCAGCACGCGCTGGAGGGCGGGCGCCCGACGCCCACCATCATGGAGGAGGCGCAGAACGCCCTGTCCTCAATCTACTACCTGCTGCAGCAATTCCCCGAGCGCTTCCGCGACGATGGCCCTCTGTTCGGCGCCGTCGTGAGCTTGCTGCTCGACGTGCTGCAGACGAGCGTTCTGTCTCGTGACTGCGTCGTGGCTGCCGGCGTCGGGCTGGCCGCTGCGGCGCAATTGCAGCTCGCTGCTGACGACGGTGCTGGGCTAGCCTTGCTGCTCGCGCGCATGGCTTTCCCGTCGGCCTGCTCTCAATTCGCCTTCGCGGTCGTGCGCCCCGACACAGGTCTGGCCGTCGATGGCGATGGCGCTGGCGCAGGCGCAGGGCCCCTCGATGCATTCGTGGCCGAGCACCGCTCGAGCAGCGGCGGCCTGTGCGACGAGATGCGGAAGCTGTCGGAGTTCGGTCGCGTGTGCTTCTTCCGTGGGATCCTGACGGCAATTTCGCGCAATGCTCTGAGCGCCATTCTGCTCCGTGCTCCCCGTCGAGGGAAGAGCGACGACGATGACGACGATGAGCTCGGACAGTGGCGAGTTTGGACACTCCTGTACGACGGAATTTTGCCGGCGCTTTGCGCGTTTTGCGAAAGCTCCGTGGACAGTCATTTCAAATTTCACGTCGTCACGGCGCTGCAAATTTGCCTGCAGCAGATCAAGACCTCAATTTGTGGACACCTCACTCGGAATTTGTTCGATGGCTTCGCGAGCTCGGCCAAAATTCACGAAATCGACTTCCCCCCGTACGAACCCTTCCCCGGCGCCATGGTCGCCCGAATTCTCCAGATAATTTGGAACAATTGGGAAGACCCTCTGACACAGACGGTGAAGCAGGTGCAGCTGGTTTTCGACTTGCTCGTGGACGTGCAATTGGTCCACAGGAGTGACCTGTGTGACAGCCAGGTGCTCGGCAGCGCCACTCCGGCGCCCTGCGACGATGCCCGCAAGGACAATTTTCTCTACGAGATCGCCAGCGATCTGCTCTCGGCCGGAAGATACCGCAAGGGCAAGTACGTGCCTCTGGCTTCTCTAGTGCAGAGAATTGGAGCCAGGAAGTTGCTCGCCATCAAACCCGATCTGCTGTTCCAAACGATCCACGCCTTCTCCGACGACGATGTATGCTGCGCCGCCGGGACATTCTACAAGTCCTTCCTCGAGCGGCTGCGAGAGGATTGCTGGAGCAGCGATGGGGTCATGGAGGGCACGGTCGCTGCCAGGCGGTTGTGGATCCCTCCTCTGCTTTCGGGCCTGCTTGCCGGCGACTCTCGTCTCCGAAACAATCTGACGACGTATGCACTGCCCGTGGCATTGCAGATCGACAGTGACAGTGTTTTGATCATGTTGGACTTCATCCTGGAAGGTCATACTGGTGCCGAAAGCTGTATGAGCGTGGAAGAGCTCGGAGGATCGCATGGCCTCCCCGGGAATCTGTCAGTAGACCAGCAGGTGGTACTCTTGATCTCAGTACTGAAGGTAGCTCGGACCATCGCTCTGGCTTTGGTCGAGGGAGCGATCGGTTACACACTGAAGCCAGCCGATAATTCGACTGCGAGGTATGAGAGAGAAGTCGAAGATGAACTCATAGCGTCCAAAGTGTTGAAAGAAATGTCGCACGCAGTTTTCACGGTGAAGGGTCAAGCTGTGGAAGTGCACGTGAATCTTCTGCTGGCAGCTCTGACCCACAAAGAAGATGGACTGCGAGTCGATGCGACGGAGCTCATGTGCTTGAATCCGAAGACAGCGTCTATGCCCTCGCCGCTGGAAATCTGCTTACTTCGCATCGCCTTGCCTCTGAATATGCGCTGTTCCTCTACGTCCTTCCGCATGAGATGGACAAGTTTCATCAAGAAATTTTTCCACCATGCTCGCAGCTCGGTTGAGAGACAACTCAAGACCAGAGGCTCGAATGGTGGAGCTGCAGAAGATATATCCTCGAATTTAGCAGTTAGTGTGTCCGAGATGCAGGAATTCATGCAGTGGTTGTCCCAAATGTTGATCTCCTCACTCTATCCATCTGCTCCATATGAACGTAAGAACATGGCTATGGAGCTCTTCTACGCACTCATACAGGTGTGGAGTGTGAACGAGTTCTGGGAGAAGAGATTTACAGGCACCTTGGACTTCTCTCCCTACCACAGAAGCTTACTGTCAGCTGATTCTACCTTAGTTGTGGTCGGCGCTATAGTAGATAGCTGGGACAAACTAAGGGAGAATGCTTACAAAATACTTGTTTGTTACCCGACTCCTTTGCCGGGTTTGGACTCAGAATGTAAGGTTGAAGGGCTGCTCAGGTGGGCCAAGAGTTTGGCGAGTAGCCCTCGTGTAAGAGAAAGTGACGCCGGTGCACTTGCTCTACGGCTGATTTTTCGTAAATATGTTGTAGAATTAGGATGGGTGGTAAAGATTCATCCAGAACCTCATGTAGTGAGGCCGACGTCCACATGTGAAAGTGGATCAAACTGCTCTCCTGCACAGAGAACTGGAGAAATGGTGTTGCAGTATCTCGAGTCTCTGAACGATTGGCTGCAATGGGGAATCGAGGAAGGAGACAAAGACCTACTAAAGGCCTGCAGACAAAGTTTTGTTCACGGGGTTCTGCTCGTGCTGCGATATACAGTAGATGAAATTGACTGGACTTCTGCCAGCGTCCAGTGCTGTTTTGGAAGTTTCCGTGCAACTTTTGAAAGACTCCTTGCCCTGCTACTGCGCGTCACATCTTTGGCCTTATGGGTTGTTTCTGCAGATGCCTTGATTCTCAAGTCCAAATTGAATGATTCACCTTCAGGTGCCCCAGATAGAGAAGATGAGTTTGCTGGGTCCGTAAATGACACAGCTGATATTGATGACGAATACGATAGCGACATGGAAGAAGGTCTCGCTCCTGCAGAGCAAATTGTGATGGTCGGATGCTGGCTTTCTGTGAAAGAGGTACGACTCGTTTTATTTTCTGCAGTCTAGGAGTCCGTGACTAACACTATTTACATGTTCCTTCTCACCTTTTTGTACAGGTAGCTAGCCACCTCTGGTGGTCAGGTCATCCCCCCACAATTGATTCACCGATGTATTGCACACTCAGGATATGCTCCGCATGGATGATAATATCTGATGAACTAGGGGCTATCAATGTTCTGTTTCAGGTCAGTCTTCTCTTGGGGACTATCGCAAGAGCAGTACCTTTGCCAGGTACTAGTGAGTTTCAAGAGAGGAGAGACGAAAATGGCAATACACAGACAGAAAATGTAGATATCAACGGGTCCAACGTGATGCTGGATGGGAAGCAACTGGAAGCTATTGGATCTCATTTCCTGCAGGTTCTATTAAGTATGAAACATAATGGTGCGATTGACAAGACAAGGACCGGATACATCGCTCTTTGCGATCGCTTGTTGCGATCTAGCGATCCTTGGTATGTTTACATCGGTTGTTGAGACCATTCAGACGTGTTTCCCGATCTCAAGAGTTCCGCGCCGTTTCATGATCTCCAGCTGTTTATTTTCCCAATCTTCATCAAAAGGCTGGAGGTACTGAATTGTACTTCTTCAATGGCTCCCGCACGTGCAGACGGGCGCGGTGTATGGATGTTCGTTCTAGTCTGCTCAAGCACAATTGACTGACACCTCAAAATCTCTCCTTGCAGGCTCAACCGAATGCCTGAATCGTGGCTTCAACAGCTAACGAAGCATACAGGTGCTAAAGGTCAGGTCGTTGATGACTTGTTGAGAAGAAGTGCGGGCATTCCTCCTGCCTTTCTTGCTTTGTTCCTCGCGGAACCAGAAGGCGCACCGAAGAAGCTTCTTCCTCTGGGAATGCGATGGCTGCTCGATACTTGCAATTCCTTTCTGGCTGAGGCAAAGGCCCAAAACCAATCAGATGGTCTGGAAGTAAATGCAGATGTGGCAGTTATTGGAACATCAAAGGTTCACACAATTGAAGTGGGAGAAAACAATTCTTCCAGAACTTTGAAGTCTCGTGACGAGGGTGTTGTTCCTACTGTTCATGCCTTCAATGTGTTGAGAGTGGTATTTCATGACACAAACCTGGCTACTGATACTTCAGGATTTTGTGCTGAGGGTTTAATGACGGCAATTCAAGCCTTCTCGTCCTCTCATTGGGAAATAAGAAACGGTGCTACTCTAGCGTTCACTGCGCTGGTACACAGGATGGTTGGTTTCCTGAATGTGTACCAAAGGGAGTCAGCCAAGCGGGCAATTACAGGTTTCGAGTTTTTTCACAGGTACGTAGAGTGTTATTGTTCAGAGTTTTCCATATGTGTGTCGTCGCTAATCTCTCACAAATCTCTCCTTCTTTACTCCTCATACTGCATTTCCATCTCCTCCCTCTTCTTCCGTGTTTCCCTTCACTTAAGTCACTAGCACCGCCCTGCCAGGACGAGTTGGGGTTCGTGTATGGTTGTCGTTACTTTGAAGGGTACTTGTTCATGAGTGCATTTTTCCCCTCCTGTTAAAGAATCTCTGCTGATGTATGTACATGTTTATGATTTGTTTGTGCAGGTATCCTACACTACATCCTTTCCTCCTACAAGAGTTGAAATCTGCAACATGGCAGTTGGAGCATGGAAACACCGGAGGAGTGGACAGCGGGCATGGACTCGCAAGGACGCTCCACCCCAGTTTGGCTCCTGTGTTGATAATATTATCGCGCCTTAACCCTTCCTTTATCAACAGTGAGGTGGAGGACTGGCTCAACCCTTCTGCTTTTATGCCTTATGTGTCACAGTGTGCAACTCAACGCAACCTTCAGGTCAGAGTGCTTGCTTCACGTGCATTAGCTCCGCTTGTGTCTGCCGAAGATTTGCTCCAAGTTTTGATCGGACTGGCTGGAAGTCTACCAGTTTCAGCACAGACTAAAAATTCACAAACTTCCGGCCTGGAGCCCAAGACGACATCCACAGAGAGATCGTCAGGCGGAGCGAGGGTGTCTGGAATCATGAAGGTCTCGTCGTTCAACGCTATTCATGGTGTTCTGTTACAGATGTACGCTTTACTTTCTTCAAATTGCATCAGTCTTCCCGATAGGGATCTTCAAGGAAAAATTTTGACAGAGGTTTTTCATATAGTCAAGCACTGCTCATGGCTGGGCTCTATCAACCACTGCAGCTGCTCTATAGTGATCGGTTCGTTCCTGGACATGCTGGGTGGACTACTTCAACTTGCAGAAGCTTACCAAGAAGATTCACAAAGCATCTGTGATCAGCTGCACGAACTCCTCACGTGCTTAACGGGCGATTGTCTGGAAGATTCTGGCAGTGGTTCTGGCTTTCGAGATCCAACTCGAGTTGGCCTCCGTGAGAAAGCAGCTAAGTTGTATTTCCGAGCAGTGTTCTCGCAGATTGAGGGCTCTTCAGACGATAGTGAACTTCTTACGCAGGTGACTTCAAAGCTTGGGACTATGCTATCGGATCCTAGTTATGAAGTTCGTCTGACGACCTTAAAGGTCTTGAAACAGCACTGCACTCTGTCCCCCACGGCCTCGTCACAACGCAGTGACACGCTAAGCTGCAAAGACTACACTTTTTTGAAACCTGTCGTAATGCAGCGGTTGAGGACTGAATCGCAGCCACTTTGCATACGGCGCATACTTCAATTGACATTCTCCTGGTCTCTGATGGATAAGCGTGATCTGGGAGTGACAAGCAGCAGTAAGGAAGAAGAGGACATGTCTGCCCGAGATCTTTGGGATGCTCTACTGAAAATTTACTCATCTTCAGAACAAATCAAGACCAAAGAAGCCTCCGTTCGCTGTGTCGGAGGGTCCTTGCAGCATGTCAGAAGTATCATCGAAAAGCTGACGAGACCCATGAGCAGAGATGTATTACCAAGTTCGTCAACAGACACGAGTAGTGATCCCCATAGTCCCGAAGGCGATCATACATCCGTGGCTGAAGAGCAATGGTCGTATGTTCAGCATGTTCTCAGTACCTGGTTGGGTATCGCCAAAAAGCACTCTGATGCCAGTGAACCAGTGACTTTCAGGAGGGCCACCGCCGAAGCCATCATAGCGTCAGGCTTGCTGGATGACACACAGTGGATGGGAAAGGCACTTGAAGGTAGACCCGGAGTCTTTGAAAAAGCTGTCCTGGAGTATTATGGCAAGGCCATTCTCTCTGTATGGTGCATAAGCATCAAACTTATGGAGGATGAGGATTTGGATCTGAGACAAAACTTGTCTCTTGCAGTTCTCAAGGTCATTTCAAGTTCAGGTTCGATACCGGATGTTGTGCCAGCACAGGTGGAGAAGGTAATCCAGGTGAGCTTTGACTTTTTGAGTTCCCGACTGGGTACCTGGACACCTTATTACACTGTGCTATCCGAGTGGCTAATCGGCACAGACATCGACTTCACTCTCAACAACAGTAATGGTGATCTAGTCCGGAGACTTTTCGACAAAGAAATCGACAACCATCACGAGGAGGAGTTGTTATTCGTGCAACTCTGTTGCTCACATCTTGAAAGGTTCATGAGTCTGCGGTTCAAAAGAAGTGTGGCCATTACTGGCGATCCCTCCACTCTTCTGTCCACATCCTCTATGCAAGAACTAAGTCTGCGCAGGTGGAGAATGAGACATCTGAACCAGGCTACGTTGTGTGCGAAGTTTAGTGTGCATAGCATGAACAGCATCCAATGGGTAGGGGGCGTGACCAACCACCAGGACACATTCAAAAGTTTGTATCGTAGTCTTTTAGGTCTTCTAACATTTTCTGGTGTAAGAAAGGATTCAGGTTTTTTATTCAATATGGATGCTAGTGAAGAAGAAGAGTTAGTGACTGGGTTGATCGAGCTGACCTCTCTTCTTAGACAGCTCTCGTTGAACCCTCTTGTATCCAACATCCTGGTGCTTGTTTTAGACGCTTACGAGAAGCAGCTGGGACGTAGTTTAGGTTCTGTAGAATTTAAGGCCCATCTTCAAGATGCATTCGTAACGAACTTTGAGCCTATTTTTCTGATTAGATAAATTGTCATAGTTGAACTTACATAAAACTCACAACCACATGCCAACTCTTCCACCAATGATATCCTCCAATGATTTTCGAGGCTCGCCAATGATTTCATGCAAAACCAACCCTGGATTAATAACTCGATTTCCAAATTGCCGATTTCAGTGTCGAGCTCTTATTATCTGTCACATCTGTGTTGACTACAATTACTGGGTTGATGTACCGAGAGCGCTGAAAACGGTTGAGAACCTTTGAACTCGAAACAGAGTGCTAAGTTGTGTACAGCTGACGAAGTGTTTCTTTACGTTCCCGAAACGAGAACTCTGAATATTCATGTGCATAAGAACTTCACACAGAGGGAGTGATAGTAATGCTCAAAACACTAGATGCCAGATGTTGCGGATTGCAAGCAGGAAATGTAACTGAAGCCCTCGCCGGTGTCACTTGTGTCTTTGCAGACCGTAGTGGCATTCTGTACCACTTCTGGATAAACTTCCAGCAGGTTTGGAAATAACTGATGACTTGCGATGAATTTCTACACTCGACGATGGCTTTGTCTACGTTATACTGTTGTTGTCTTTGGTGAGAATCAGTCACACTTGTAACACTTCATTCTCTTCTCAACTTCGAAGAATTGTCTCGGTCTACTATTCTCATCCAGTAGGAGTGATTATCGACTGCGTAAATCACCCTTAACCTAAAATTACTTGCTGAATGTTCGCCAGTTGGTCGAACGATTATCAAACTCAAGAATAATAGGCCGCAATCGCTTTCTGCTACCTACGGCTTGCCTACACTAGTTTCAGATTTTCAAGCTGTCTAAAATTTCCAGTTTACGTAAACTCTTTGGACCTTCCACTTTCAGCCCTTCTTAGTATCACTCTCGCACACAACTGAAGCTCTTCGTCACGAGATTTAAACAAGCTCGCAGTCAAGCCCGAATATCTGACAGTGATAAGGACATGTACTCAATGATCCATAGGAATCTTCCAAAGTGACCGGTAGAAGAAGTCTATTTTGCAATAATTTTAAGCACTTGACATCTGAAGTTCGAGATAGTGTTCGAATGAGAGTTGGATGACTTTGTCGTACTTCGCGACTTGGACTTTTAGGATCGGATCCACGCAGAAGAAATGACGACCATAACGAAATTCATGGTCGTCATTTAAAATGTTCCGAGGTACCATATAAGCAGTCAGTCGGGCGAGAACCGAAAATAATGTAAAGGCTGAACACTTTGCTTTCCATCTTTTCTTCTTTTCGGACCTTCCAACTGCACCCTACAATATTCGTCGTGTGCAAGGTCTAGCGATTGAAGAGAATTCCATGGCATGCACCTTATCGAGGACTTTGCCATCCTTAACTTGTGATATTGTACTTTTCTGTCCTCCTCGTTGTTTTTTCTTTGTTCCAGATATGGTCCCGCTCACGTGTTACCAAATGCCTTCATCCATCTAGAGGTTCAATTGGCACACTTGTCACACAGGGCACAGACAAGAAAGGGACTTTATTCGGATCATATATTGGGTGCCACATAGGCCTCTGATTTGACCATGCTGGGTTGAACATTGTATAACTGTAACCACTTCAAGACACGATATATGACTGTATCTATTTTGGTAATCGAGTACATTGATTGCAACTAATGCTCCATCTATAGACAAATGTCCATGGGACATTATATTATCAATTATCGTATCCATAAAAATCACATTATTTTATAGATTCGATAGCTACATGTTTTTGAATGGATTGTGGTACGTTTGATATGTGTCTTATGATTTTTTATGTCATAACATTATGTTATGTTTTTGCAATAATATTCACTTGAATAGTGCAATTTAGATAAATTGTTATAATGATAAGATATTGCTGTTTCATAAATGAGATCTAAATGATATCAACCTTATGGACATCTCGTAGATAAAACTAGTTCATACGACTTTTCCTGTGCTGCTTATATCAGAGTTCATTGAAAACACGCTGGATAGTAGGCTTAAGTATTCTAAGACGGGACAATCAAAGTGAAATACATCTAAATTAAGATGTCAGAATTTTTACTGCTAGTCAAAACATGCCTCTAACCCAAAATGAAGCCATATATAGACTCAGCACTGTATATAAACAGGAGTCATCCAGTTCTGCATCCATTGTCAACCCGCAGACTTAACTAGGACAAGATAAGCGTTCGTTCTTAGCGTAAATAAATCAATGTATACATCAATTGTACATCGACAGAGTCTTCATACTCATGACGGTCAATCTCGAAAATTCACACTGTGGAGAAAGCTGCTGCATGTAGTCGATGAAATGCATCATCGAAAGAGTCCTGTGAATCTTCAGGATGAGTAAATTGTTCCACCACGGCTGCTGCAAGATGTCGTGGCTCATGGAGTGAGAGCCGAGAATTCTCGAGAGACATTCGCTAGCATGACGATGTCTTCGAGTGCGGCCCCAGTGAAATGATCGAGTAGAATTCTCCTTGCAAGGACATTCACTTTCCGTAGACAGACCCTGGGACAGATCCTCATACCACCGACCGAGGTGGGCATGAAACATCAGCAGCAGCAATTCAGAACAGCCAGAAGCTGCCAATCGGGAGCAGGTCCACACGCGATACGGGAATGTCTTGCATCGCTGACTCTGGCCGAGCCCCGAAGCTTTCGAAGCTCAGATTCCGAGCACAAATTTGACCTCATTGGGCGACTGTCAGATTTCGAGGTGGATCTCCTCGAGGACAGACTCGGGGACACGATGTTCCGTGTTCACCTCGGGGCCGGTACGGTCCAGCGCCGGTTGTCATCGAAGATTGTCTCACGCGTGTCAAGAATCCGGAGCACTGGTCCAGTTGGCGTTTGCCACCATCGGACGGCTTTCGTTGTCCTCGTCGTCCGTCTCTTTCGTTCTAATGCATTTCCCCGTGAGCGATCAGAGCCCGTCACATCCGTCGGATTGGGAGAATGAAGTTGCAACTGAAATGAGAATGAAATTGCGTTGCATTGCTCGTTCATGACAAATGAGAATGTTGCTCTAGCTCTCACTTTCTGGAGATCTTAAAAGTCTGGGCAGACTTTTCCTCGCGGACCCTTTCGCAACTCGGAGTTATCATTCTTCTCATGCCTATCTGAAAATCTTCTCTCCTTAATTTGGAAGGTGATTATTTAAAGAATAATAATACATAATATCACTCACTTTGGGTCGCTCATCCTTCTTCATATGACAATAAGGTCTTTTGTGATTGGTCGAAGGTTATAGTTGCCAGTGGTGTGTGTTTATGGTCCTTCTAACACGGTTATGCATATGCTCACTCCCTTGCGTGCTCGTCCCTACTTGATTCTAACAAAATTCTTGCGCTTGTGTCTACTCTCTCTCAGGGACAAAATTCTCCAACCCTAGAGTCCCGAAGCTCGCAGCTCAATATTGGAGAAGACAGTGGGATCCCTCCGTCTGCAAGCTCCTCTGCCGAGCAAGGAGCCGGTGACCTGCTCCTTGTTTAGCGGGAGCTTTGTTTTATGATTTTGATTTGTGGATTGTATAATACGTTTTGTTTAATACAAGGAACAAATGTGAGCTGAATTTACTGTTGGGAAGCCGTCATGAGATCCTCGTCCAAAATCTCGTCGGTATCAAACAACATTTGGTCATCAAAACGATTCATGCCATCCAACATATAAACCTCGTTGAATTCATCGATGTGGTCCAAGTCTCTCTCCAGAGCATATTTTTCATCACCCTCCTATTTATCGTTCACCTCGTCTATCCCAGTCGCATCAGTGCCGAGCATCTTCAAATATCGAACAAACAGGCCGTTGCGTTTGACACTCGCGTGTCGTGTAAACTATTGCGCATTAACCACGATGATCATGCCGTCCTCCACCTTTTCTGTTGCAAGTTGAGAGCGGTTGCGTGAACGTACTCGTTTGGCGGACTTGTGATTGCGTTCACCAGCACTGGTCCGGTCGGCATCTTGTGAATGGCAAAGATCGGCTTCTTCAGATGTGAGTACAACGAGTCGTCCGCCAATGTCCATATGTGTTGCGGCATGGAGAATATGTCCGCAAAATCGTAGTCATTGTGTGCAACACTGAAGGTAGAGTCCGAACTTGGATTGCATTGTTATGTTTAGCATGACGTCGGCAGCGACTATACTCTTGATTGACTTTTTGCATTGTTGCACGATGGTCAAGTCGCTCAAGTTGAGTAAAGACTTCCCGTGCTGCTTGGATAGATTATCGCGGAAGTCGTTGAATAGAGAATCGGTGCGAAAAGTCAGAGCGTGCGCTAGCGAGAAGATCGTCTTGATGCGATGTCAATCAGCTAATACATTTTTTTGACATCGGCACTACTAAGCTCTAATATGGCACTTACATCTAGCAGGATCGTGCGAAAATGATGTGCAACGGCCAAAATGCAGGCGTAGACGATCAAAAATGTCAACTTGTCACCCTCCAAGTACGACAGACAAGAGCACATAGGAATGAATAGCACTTCCATGGCTACAACGCACTTCCAGAAGCCTGCCAACAAGATCAAGTCCCTCAGTTCGTCAGTAAGATCAATGTCTAGGTCATTCTACATGATTTAGATTAGCATATGGCACTTGGTTCAGGCGCTTAGCGACTTCTCAGACCGTTGCCAAGCACATTTTTGTGAACAAAATAAGCACGAGCTCTCGGACCGTTCCCAAGCACATTTTTGTGAACAGAATAAGCACGAGCGTGCTTCCATACTTGTCCAAGCATATTTTATCGAGTAGTTGTTGGACCTGATGCGTCTTCCGAACTCTTTTTTCAAAAAAGACAATATGCTTGACAATGAGCTTTACGAGCAGATTTCTTTCACCAAATCCATGCACAGATTGTGCAATGCATGCGCTGAGCAACAAAACGCAAATGTAAATTTTGATGTCTTGGATACAGGCGGCGTAGCTTGATCATGACTGACGGCAAATCAGAGCATAACGTGAACATCGTCATTCCCACAAAATGCTGGTTAAACGTGGCAACCTGTTGCAGATCGGCATCATCGTTACTAGCATCGTAAATGACAACATGGTCAACAAAGCCAAGTTCGCGAATCGTGAGTAGCAAGCGACGTTTGCAGATGATCAACTTTTTGTACAAGTTTTTAGCACTTTCCCGACGAAGCTCCATTGAAAAATGTTCCAAGAAAAAAATCATCGATTTGCACGCCATCATGTTTATGATCTGCTTGCCCTGAACATTTGTGGTGTTGTCCAAGATCAATCAGATCCTGACAAACTGCTTCAGGTTGCACACAACTTCAGCCATAACGTTCTCGTACTATAAGCGCAATAAGTCGCCGCCAATCCATTCTATGGAATGTGTCATGCAGAGTGTGGTAAAAATCCTGCCACGTATTATGCTTGAATGTCTTAAACGGCATCATTGTTTGATGAACGGCGCGCGCGAACAATTTGCATATGTGCTCGTGCTCTTCTTTTGTCAAATAGTCAAAATGAGCATGCACATTGCTAAACATGGACGACGAAATCGTGACGTCGCCACTGTGTTCTGCAGTGAAAGGATTACACGAGGATGATCTTACCGTTTTGATCTTCTTGCAGAGCGGCGTAGTGAAGCCTAGGTTAACCTATCCAATGAAGCGAATGCGCTTCGGGCAAGCACTGATATGGCTTCGAAGACAAGCAACTATCGCTCCGACAACTGCGGAGCAGTGTCAACAAACTGCCTTTGTTCCTTTGGATCCGTCCGGGACATAAGGTTTGTGAAACTTGTCCACAATGCGTCTTTCTTCAGACCCATGACGATGGTGCAATGGACAATGAATTGTGCCGACTGCGGAATGATAAGATAATTCAATGCTGGACTGCCTGCGCAATGGGCACTGGCGCTATCACACTGTATAGCCACTAATTTTTATTAGCTTGATACACGTGCAGTCGTGTATATATATATATATATATATATGTTCATGTATTATACGTTGTATTACACATACGTTCTATATAGACAGTTTCATAGGACCATCTTAGAAGGACCTGCTGCAAGTACTTCTAACATGTTAATGGCATGGCATGTTAGGGCAAGAACGGGGACTGGACGCATGGGACGAGTCACTACTAGCTCGTGAAAAGTCCAAAGGAAGGTTAGATCGAGTATTAGCAGTGGACGCTCGACTAGGGGTCTTGCAAGGGGATCATCGGTACGTATATTAATTGTCGATGTCTCGAGGCGAATGCCACAGGGCACCCGCTCAGTCAATCGGCAGTCCTCGGACGAGGCGCGATCAATGGAGCTTGTGATTTTTTGAGCCCTTGCAAGGATGTTGCGGATGGTGAATACCAACAAAATTTTAGCAACAAGCAGATGATCAACGACCGGGCTCCGTGATATCGACCCAACAAGCAACCTGCAGAGTACCACCGGGATACGTGAGTGTTAATGCCATTTTAGAAGTAACATAAACTCATCACACTAGCAACTATAACCTTTGATCAATCAAAGCCAACAATATAGTAGAGTGAGGAATGATAAGCCCAAAGTGAGTGATAAGTAGCAGCTCCCATAATCAAATACATTTTCAATGGTTTTGATCTTCACGGTAAATGTTCTTCCTTGTTAGACAAAGGCAAGGCTTGCTTCATTGCATGCTCATGCAAGTCTTAATCATCCCTTTCAGAAAGTTTTATGTCCTCAAATCGAAAGGAATTAAAAATAAATGTTTTCACTTTGCATTACCAAGAAAAGGCTTATGGTTGTCACGCGGATCAAGATCAAAATCACTGAAAGTGATTTCGATCTTGACTTTAAATGTTCTTCGGCAAGGCTTGCTTCGTTGCATGCTCATGAAATTCTTGAATGCCCGAAAGGTAGCGAAGGACGATCTTAACTTTCGGCCGGCTTCCGTTTTCTTCAAGTAAAGGCACGACGTCAGACAAGAGAGACCGGAGGACCTACAGGTGGCGAGAAACGGCGTTCGGCGACAGAGGAGTGGTACCCGAGCGTGGATGGATGGACGGATGGATGGACAAATGGACCAGTTATTCGATCATGCTCGCGTCCGGACTCCCGGACCTCCGGCCCTTTCGGTTCGATTAGAAATGACCGAGGGGCAAGGAAGGAGCAGGAACGCGAATAGAGGTCACTTCGGGGTGTGGGGAATACGAGACGAGTATCCGCTGGGTAACGTAAGATGGAAACGGATGAAGACGATGGTCGGGTTCGGAGGAGGGGCAAGCGGAGGAGGGCGATAATTCGATTTTCAGTTAGGTGGAGGAGCGGGGCAAGATTGCGCTCCACGTGGATCAATGGAAGCGCGCCAGGTGTGGCAGGATGGAGGCCGAAGCGATGCTGACGTGTGCATGAGCACGCGAGACGAAAGCGACTCGAGAGACTCGAGGGACCGGTGCGTGCGCGTGTGTTGTGTCTGCGAGAGATGCCGGGGCCGACCGGCCATTGCGGCCCATCATGAAGTACAAGGCTCGACCACAGTGCACAGACTGCTGGAGTCTTGGCCGGTCGATCGAGCCCCGGAGAGAGCGCGAGTGACATGGCGGCGACTAGCGACGATTTCTCTCGTTTACGTGACGAAGCCTGATTGCCGTGGCAAGAACCGGTGGGCCCAAGATTCAGCCCAGCGTCGGCAACCCCCTTTCCCACCCCCCGGAGGCCTGGGTTCGTACACCCGGAGCAGACGAAGAAGAAGGACGAGGACGAGCAACAGCAGCCGAAGCGGGTAACGAGTTTAAAAGTCCCTGGATCAGAGTTCAACGAACTGGACAAATCCTCCCTCTCCCTCCCTCCCTCCACAAGCACAAGCACACGCACCAGACAGACAGACGAGGCGTTCAGCTTAATCACAACAATCGCTACTCCCGCATACGACACATTCTCGGTCGTTGTTGTGGATTCTGCATCTGAGCAATTGTTCGGTAGAAGGGACGGGACGGACAGACAGCATCGAGCTTCGTCGTCGTCTTCGTTTTGACTGGTAGCTCGCTCGCTCGATTGATTGATTGATTGACTGGCTGGCTGCTATAGCTGCAGCTACTCACCGGACGGTCGGTGTGCTGGTGAACGCGTCTCTCTTCCATGGGTGAGCAGTCGTACCAGAAAATGTTCCAAAATACAGCTCGAGACTTTTGCGCGTGATGCATTTGCAGCAGAAGGCAGGCATTCAGGCATGCAGGCATTGTAGGCACGGATCGAGCCGAGTCCGGAAATTGGGTGGCAGTCTCTGTGGAATTTGGTTTTCGTTTCGTTTTGCAATCGGAAGACAGGGCAATCGTAAGATGATCGATCATCTTGGGAATTTGGCGTTGCAGTCGATCGGCAAAAGAGAGGATAGCTCCTCCTCTCATAGTCTGAGCTGATTCCTCTGAACCTTGGTGCACGTCGATTCATTTGCCCAGGGTGCAAAACCATGAATTCAACTGGCATCACCATCCGGGACTGCATTTTGGGCTTACAGCAATTCACTGTCCCGTTGCTCCGACTGTGAATTCTCCTTCGTGGGCCCGACGTACGACGAGCAGCACTGAGCGATTCCTTGTTTCTGATATAGTCCTCCCGTACCTCGCAAGCACAATGCTCTCCGCGCATGTGTTGTAAAAGGGCCATGCGTGTGCCGTCATGTGTCTTACTGGCCGCTCCGGAAGTGCGGACGATCAAGACCTGGTGCATTCTCCGCTCTTCCTCTGTACCCACGAGGGCCTCGTCAATTGGCTCTAACGAACTAACTCATAAAATCAATGCATCCATCCATCCATGCATGTCCAGTACGAAGGAGTCGTCTCTCGATGCATAATCCGTGGACCGTGCAGGACTCGTAAAATCTTCTCCTGGCTTCCTTGTAGACGAACTGACTAGTGTGCCGAAGTTATCAGGTTCTGTTTTTTGCTGGTAATTTTTTGCTCGCGGCTGTCGGATGCGCTGCCAGGTTTCGGGCTCGATCAAAACAGCGGGAACGAGATTGTGTGGGATGCTAGACATGGCGTTCAGGAATGAATGTGTGGGATGATGACATGACGGCTGTAACGAGTAGACTCATGTTTTGACGACACCGCAGTGGGTGCATCTGCAGACTCATGGAATTCGTGCCAAGCTGCTACAATACTCGCGAGATAAACAAAAGCCGAAGGTTTCTAAGAAGTAAGTCCACCGCTTGTGCTCCCAAATCAAATCTCGCTGGCATTGAATAGAATTCCGCACGGACTCTGAACCTCAACGCCAATTTCTCCATTTCTCCGTTTCCTTGCAGGTTGCCTCGGTCGAGGCTGTCTTCCAGTTACTCCGTGAAGAAATCCGAACTCTCTGCCAAGAAGGAATCCTTCAAGAGACCAGGCTCTTTAACCAAAGTTGAATCCGGCGAAAAATCTGAAGCTATGGCGATAACTGTTCCCTCGTCAAAAACCTCCGAGCAGCCCCACGCGGAGTTCACCACAAGTGCTGAATCTGCACAGCAACCGAGCCATCCGCAGTCTGTCCTTGTGTCCGCCTCTCTCGTCGGTAAGGTACGTACTCACGTGAATTGCTGTTCGCTCGAGAGCAAGCTCTGACATTTGCGTAACCGGGAGTCGCCTGCCAAATTCCTGTCTATGCGATTGATTTGGTGACAGTTTCTTCCATGACGTCAGATGAAGGCCAAACAGGGGAAAGGCATGAAGGGGATGATTTCAGGGATGGGGAAGGAGCTCAAGCGAGTGGCCAACAGTCTCGGAGACACCGTTCACGACCACATGCCCAACTCTGCAAGTGAGTACGAGTCTTGAATGCTCTCGGCCGCAGCAGGTGCCTTGAGGTCCACCGTGTGCTGACCTCCATCGTCGTCGTCTTTATAGATAAGAAGAATAAAGCCACGCGAGACAGGCAGCTGCTCATGGGTGATGCGCAAAAGCCTCAAGTGCGCAATCCTGCCGAGATCAAGAAGGCGTACGGTTATTCATCTGTAAGTTCTTCCCGGGTTGATGATCACAGGCCGGCTCTTGGGGGAGGGATTGTGAGCCTGACAGAAACGTGACGCAATCACTGCTGTCATAGAAGGGTGTAGGTGCGGAATTGCGGATTCGATCGAGAGTGGTCGGTGTGTTCAGCTTTTATGGTGGGGAGTTTCCTGCGCAGGGTTTAGGAACAGACTAATTGGGATTACTTGTGTGTGATGATGATCCAGGACGCGACTCATGCGGCAGAGCTCGCTCATGATAAATTACGTGAACGAGGGAAAAAGCTATCGGTAAGTGCTTCCACTGGGCTCGCACTGTTGTTTCTGTCGAGGAGATCCGCACCTATTTCCACGCAATTGCAGGAGGACTGATCGCCCAAAAACTACAACTAGCGTTCTGGTACTGACTTCTCGAACTGCTGCTGCTGCTGCTGCAGGCCATACAAAATCGCACCACGGAACTTGAATCCGAGGCAGCGAATTTTGCATCTCTGGCTCAAGAGTTGCAGAAGAAGATGGAAAACAGGAAGTGGTACGAGCTGTGACGAAACAGGAGTTGTCTCAACCGGACTGAACTTTAGCGAGAAACGAAACCACATCCGATGCTCATGTGACCGATAACTTCAACAGCTGCGGAATGTGTTGCACTTGCCCACCAGTTCCATGCTGGACTCACTCCAAGGATCAGGATTCCACGACAACAGGAGCCTACGTGAACTGAGCAGCAGCAGCAGAGCCATGTCTAGGAGCACGAAGCATCCTGTGCCAACATTGTACGCATACTCCAGACCTCTAAGTGAACCTGAAATTGACTTGGAACAAGCGTATGAATTATCTCCAACTCCGATCGAAGCGATGAATTATCTCCAACTCCGATCGAAGCGAATTCCGGGAGGTTATTTATTGCAGCCCTGCCCTTGAATACTTCTCTCGTGGTTTCGGTCAGGAGCAAGCGAGACTACAATTATCTTCTACATCATTAGAGAGTGCTGTAGTGTAGTCATGCACAACACGAGCCACATGACGCGGTCGTGATTTCCAAATTGATCATGTGTATTATACGGTAGTGAACAAATGGATGGTGTTAGCCTTGATTTAATCCTCCCATGGTTTAGCAAAGTTGGACAGCAAATTGTCCCCTCTATTTTCCAAGCACCTAGAAGCATGAAATAAAAATGTCAACCTCAGTAGACTATTAGTTTGTTGAAATATTCTTTCGTGCCCGTTTACGTTACCTGTAGGATAGATGATTCAAGGAGTGGAAAAAATTTGCTGAATGCTATACACTAATAAAGAAATAAGCCTACAACTTTTCATGTTGCGGTGGAGTGGTGAGGTAACGCAAATATTATCCGATTTAGCCACGACGGGGTAGTGTCCAGTAGATGTCCAGTGGATGCCGTGAATACGATTTTAACGTGCGAGTCTCCACATTGAGCTTCAAATTGTGTTAGACAATCCGGTTTAGATGAGCGAAATCTTTTACTTCAGAGACCTGCATAGGATGCCGAGATCGTTGACCGGCTCCAACGCCGCCTCACCAATGGATAGTTGGTAAGTGAGATTGTCAAGACGTGACTTCACGAATGGATAAAAGATTTATCATTTTCACTAAGTGGCAGTCCCACCCATCGATAATTGGTAGACGCACTGTTACGACTAACGCACCAAGAACTTTGTAACTAAGTTAGATCAACTCATATCGAATCATTTTGTAATACAAATGCTATTTTGTAATACATTCATGAATCGTGACCAACATTACAGGATTGAAAGTAGACACGAGAAAATGATATCCAAAGGACTAGAAATTAAGCGATATGACGTGAATATCTATGTATAAGTAGATAGCGTTTCCTCATAAAATGGTATTGATTGTAGAGAAACGTGATAATTTCTCCAACTTCGAAGGCGTGTGTAAGTTTCCCGGGATTTATGTCTGCGAGGAAAAAGTGTATGGGATCTTCCGGGACTTATGAATTTTATCCCCGAATCAGTAAAATCGTATCATGAGAACATTGCGAAGGTTTCCATACTCAACTCAACCCACTCTAATGCTCTTGGTCCACACACACTTTCCACGGACAGGAACGTATTTTCATATCGTGAAAGCCTATATTCAGTGTCCCGATGTGACTTGGCTGGGCTTCCGTCCTTTTTTCCGTGTTAACAGGTATACAATTACATTGTCAGTGTCCAACTAGACTATTCGAGGTACTTTTCGAAAGAGAATATAATGAACAACGATGACATACTCATTTCAAGCAAACAAACATATGGGTGGGAAACATTATTTAATTATGTATTTTCTTAGATTATACTTTGTGTCCTTTCTTATCAAAAGAAACCCAGGGAGCGATAATCATATACTCTAATAATAGCCTCGATTTTGTCATCAGTTAAGCACTTCGTATGGAATGATAATATTTCAAAACTCTAACTTATTACCCAAAAGTCTTATAACATAAATCGGCTAGTGCATTGTGTTATCCGGTTAAAAAGTCGATTACATTCGAGGTAAAGGAACATTGAAGATGAAGGGGCTAATTGTTAGGTACATCTCTTTTCGAGTTAAACGATGGGGAAATAGATGAAAATATGAGTTTTGTAAATATTGATTATAGAAATAATTTGCACACTACACAGACATGTGATAAATAGGTCAATAACAGGCATAATTTATATTTGATTCAAATAGATTACTATTCAAACATTGTACATGTACATCTCCAGTTTCATTCAAAAATCATGGATCTTCCAGCCGTGCTTCGTCTTCTGCCTTCCACGGCGAGAGTGAGACGGAGACTGTCTTGATCACCCAGGACAACTTCCTACCGTTGTTTTGCCACTTCAAATGTGCATGTCATCTCCCGAAGTGGCAATTTGTACCCTGATTATTTCAAACGGGGTTCCATTGCTTTATGCTGAAGCACTCTTTCTCAGGTCCGAACAATTTGCACCTATAAAATTCAGGTATGCCAAAGTTTGCATAAGGCTTTCAGTTGGCCAAAGCTTTTGTATATAATGTTGGACTAATCAATGTTGGAGACCACTTCTAGGTGATTCAAGCTCCATCAAACATATCTCTGTATGAATAAGATGGGGAATGAAATGACATACTCGTAAAGGACGGCAACCTGAAGGGATGAGCATAAGTGAAAACGCATGCAAATTCTTGCTAGCTGGGGGTTAAATTCTATACACTCTGTCAAAGCATCAGATAATCCTTCTCTTTTACGGCTTTCCTTAGAGCTTTGATCAGTTAACCTTCTGGTTGATACTGAAAGGGAAAGTGACCACAATAAAGAAAGTGAAGACTTGCTTACAAAACGCCGTTCCACTGTTCTGTTCTGTACAACAACCTGTGAGTTACATATTTTCTAGTTACTCAAACAACTGTAATACTTACATCCTATGATACAGATACTGGACACTTCTGATACACTCAAACAATTAGAGACGCGTGATACTATGGTCGTGAATAAAGTCACCAGCCCTGAGCTGAATCACGCTTAAAGCCTGGTCAGTTGACATAAACGCTGAAACAAAACGTAACATATCACCAACCCAAATGTATCTCTGTATACCCATTACGTGAAAGTTTATGAGGGTAAAGGACATCACATCTACGACCAGACTTTGCATATTGAGTAGACAAAGGAACAATACATGCATAGGCAGGCACAATTATGTACAGAGACCGGGACGAGGTCATTTGATTTCTGCAGAAGAGACGGTACGATTCGAACGAGCGCTTATCCTCATCAAAAAATTTGTTAAGATATTCTCTTGGTCTCCAATGAGTTCTCCTAATATAGCTTAATCTGCGGTCCGCACAAGATAAGTCACTATCAGTACGGAGAAAAACTTCTCATCCCAAAACCATGAGCACGTGATGGAATTCATCGTCTAGAGAACTGTCTCCAGTGATGAGACTTTTTCAATATCATTATTGGTGGTCAAGTTCATGCATTGCTACTTGCTCCGAAAAAGACTTGCGTAAAATTTCCAAGTGATACCGGACAGTAATATATCTTCATCCTTGACTCACGGGACAACAACCAACAGTAGAGATTACAGAGCTGAAGATAGACATGAAGACCTACTTCTGTCAAAGACAAGGCGATGCGAAAAGCGGAAAAAGGGACTTGGAAGATACCAAAACAGACATTCGCCATAGTTTGATCGATATGAGTTTCAAATGGCTCCGCACATGGGGAGATAGGGGAGATTCAAGAAGCTTTGAGGCACCTTGTAAGCTGAGCAAGAATTTTTTAAGTTGGTGAAAAACCAATGTTTAGCTTGTCACAACTCCAAAGCACCCCTAGCCTCTCTCATCTTCCGGGCTCGCTCTTGCCATGATCCGGCCTGTTGCATCGCTATTACCTGCACAAACGGCTTCCGTAGTAACTCCTCGACACAAAGGGAAAGAATGTACTTAACAACTAATACGACCCGCACTCTCGAAGTTAAAATGACTAGTCAAGTAATCATATTTGTGGTGGAAAGCTCTCGGTATCGAACCTAGTGGTGTTAACAGATATGACAGTGACTTCTGTATAAACAGCAAGCAGCCAAATTCATATACATACTTAAATAACTAGGCCAGAAGTAATCATTCAACCGGCTCAGGCCCTTGAGAAACGACTCCATACATTATTTTTTAAATTTGTGGCCAGTAGATAAGATTGGCCTGAAATAACATACCAGTGAGACAAAAAGAACTTATAACCTACGAATTTCGAACTAAGGAAATGAATATATCATAAACGAAGTTCAAATTCAGAGTTGAACACAGAGAAGAAAAAGCACGAGGAAGGAAAATAAGGAACTTAAGACACATAAAAGGCATATAAGGAGAAAAAAAAGTGGTAAAGGACTGCGTATGACTACGGATGAAAACAAACCGAGAGGCACAAGGTGGGTTCACCTCTAGACACATTTTCATACAAGGATTCAAGTAACCATATAAAGTCAAAGAAGACCTAAAGTCTTGGTTGGTTCGTGCAAAGCCCGGTAACCAAAGTATGAACCCACCTGTTGACTAACAACACTGCTGACCGGGAGTGTGCAGGCGATGGAAGAGCTCTTTGGACTCTCCACTTTCAGGGACACCTTTGCCTCGGTAACAATAATCGGTTGCTCGTCACTCTCATCGTCATGATCGTCCCCTTCAACTACAGGGTGTATTTCTGGATGTGACACTCTAATTCTCAAACCTTGTGGTGGTCCAAAAATTGCATTGTCATGAGCAGATTGGACTTGAGCTTCCCTTGTTACCTACATGGAGACACATGACTGGTGAGAAACCCAGAAAGAAAATGATCTCAACGAAGCAAAACTTCAACTACTGTGTAGTATGTAAGCCGAGAGCGAATCCCTGGAGCACTTGTCATACTTGCAAAATCATAGAAGCAAGTGAAATGTCATTCAGTGGTCACATCAACACCAGAAACGATTAGCAAACAGAAAAGGGCTTCCAAAGAAAGTAAATCACGTGAATTTTGGAAAGTATGAATAAACTGTCTCGATGTTTATGAAGTGATCCGGGTGAAAGTTAGTCCATAATTGAATACCTGATTCGAGGAAGAAAGAAATGTGCTTCCAGTATTCTTGAGGAAAACTGTATCATCTTTGGATCCCGTACCATCCCCAAAATAGTCTTGTTTGGCATCATCATCCAATGGGGCATCTTTATTGAAGTCAAAACGTTCCCATTCGTCTGACATGCCCTTCGCCTTGTCCTTGACAACTGTGATGGCAGCATAAATAGAACCTCAGGGATACTAGAGCGAGTTCCTCCACTTTCAAGCAGAGCAATTGCAATCTAAAGAACTAAAGTGTTCGAAGAGTAATTGATTTGGGATATACCTGTTTCAGAAAGTTGAAGCTTCATCTTAGCTTTCACTTTCTCGGCTGGAGTCTACAGGAAAGACCACGTATACATAGCATTTCAAGCTTCACGCGACACAATTCCTACCATATCCTTCTGATAGATCTCCAGGTTTTGAAAAAGGGACCAATAAAAATCAATACAACAAGGTTCGTTAAAGAAGGAGATGCGGATACCATGGACTCAAAGTTTGCTATCAACTTCGAATAATCCCTTTGTTGATTTTTTTCTTCAACAAATCTAGGATTTTCCTCTGCTCTTCCGGTCCGGTCTCTGGCTGATCTGTGCCTTTTCTCGTCATCGTAACGTCCCCTACTGCTGTCTGTACGGTGACTGTCCGATCTATCGGAGATTCGCTCGCCGTATCTACTGTCTCTATTTCTATGAGAACTCCTGTGAGATGTTGGAGAACGACTTCGACGTCCCCTGCGTGACCGCTGAGGAGAATAACTACCATCTCTTCGGTAACTCCGATCAGCGTCTCTCCCACGAGAGCGGGATCGGCTCCTATCTCTTGTCCTCCTCTCTTTGGACTTCAACCGACTCGGACTACTTCTACTACTCCTCTCCGGACTTCTCCTCTGCTTGCTTCGACTATCTTCCCGTGGAGACTTACTACGATCTCTTTTCGACCGCCTGCTACGTTTCTTCGTGCGCTCAGATGAAGTTCCACTACTACCATGACTAGGAGACCGGCTACTTCTCTGCTGTAGCTCACGCTTCTTTGAAACCAAAATCTTTTCCGGTGTTACTGACCTTCTCCTGCTTCGACTCCGGGACCTTCGCTTCCTGTCTCTTTCAGTGCCCTCCGAACTTCTGTGGCTATGTTTCTCTCTCTTCCTGTCTTCTACCCGCAACTCCGGTGTCTTCCTCCTCCTCCTGCTCCTAGACCGGTCGGCATCCTCGACATGATCATCATCTCTCGTACGATCTCTGTCAGGAGACCGCTTTCTCGAGCTGTGGTCATCATCCCTCTTCTTCAGCTTATCACGAATACCATCGAGTCGAACTTCCTTTTCTAAAGCAGCAGTCCGCCCGGGGCTACTTTTCACGAAATTGCTCAGCGATCCGTAAGCTTCACTTTTCGGGAGAGAAGACTGAGAAGTTCCGAATCCCAAACCCTGCTTGTACTTAGCCGCATTTCCACCCTTGCGCACCAGCTCATCGTAGTACGCCGCAGCTTTCTCTTCTTCCATACCTCCGCTCGTGACTCATTCGCGGCCCCTAATCAATCCTCCATAACTTCACGTCATTCCATCGATCGCAAACGAGGATTTTAAACGGCGCCCTGTATAAACCTAGAGCGCTCTCTCGATCCTCTACTTCTCTAACTCGAAGTCCACGATCCAGGAGGTGATTCCGGAATCTGATCCACCTTTCGACAATCCAATGGCGGCCGCAATTGACGGTCGAAAACCGAATCAAATGTTTGGGCGGGCTCGAACTTATTCTCGATACAAACCCGTGCTCACCGTCTCTACGTACCAGTTGGCGAGGCCGAGCTGCACACAGCGCCTGGTTTACGTGGCAAGATCCGCAGAATACCGTCGTTTTAGAAGATCCCTAATTTCCTTTGCAAATTAATGACTATTATAGAATTGAGGGCTTGCTTAGAGTACCCAATTATGTCTCGATTTGTATCAGATAATCTTCCCTATGCAAGATTTGACCGTTCTTATATCATGCGTACCAATTCACTTGATCTATATCACTTAATGATGAATCGCACTATAATTCTCTATCCCAATTATTATGTGATCATGGACGCTCGCGTAGCGTGGAGGGGCGCTGCACCCTCGTGCAGCGTGGAGGGTGCAGCGCCCCTGATAGTTCCGAACTCAAAATTATATATCTTTTGCTAATTCTTTTACAAAACTCTTGTCATCCATGAAAAGGATTCAAATAAGTAGATTCAGCCGGTAATAAAGCCAAATTTTGTGTATTAATCCAACTGCACTCTGGTAAAACCAAAGCTTTTGTCAACTACAACTTATAGTGCTCAGTGCTCGAAACATTTCAATGGTAACGTCGGTGGTGATTCTTTGTGCTAACTTTCTTTCAACAAAGAAACGGGTAACGTTAGCAAGGTATACATCCCACATTTTGTTTCTCAACTGCATTTTCACAATCTTTAATACTGAGATACATCCCACATTTTGTTTCTCAACTGCATTTTCACAATCTTTAATACTGAGATACATCCCACATTTTGTTTCTCAACTGCATTTTCACAATCTTTAATACTGAGAACGAACGTTCTGTTCACGCGATGCTGATAGTTAAAGTTAAAGCCAAAACAAGATGATAAATAATAGACTTCTTGAGTTCAAATATCTTTATACCTAAAGCACAAAAAGATTCAAACCTTAGCCACAACTCTATGCAAAATTGCAAAATATATTGTTCTAACATCATCAAATCATATTGTTCAAAGTCATACATCCGTCACTTCTTTGAGACATTTTCATGAGTGAGAAGACGTTTGGACATAAATAAGCAATCTGTCTCATCAATGCAGACAAACATTCAAGAAAACGGTCATCAAGCTCACTTAGTTGTGAATCTACAATGTTAAAGAACATCTCCACATGATAAAAATGATAGCAAGTTTTAATGTTAGCATTGCAAAAAGTACATCTCGTAACGAAATAACTTGATTTCATATCAAGTGCAACAATATTTTTTACAAGAGAAAAAAATTAAACCGCTCCATGTATTGTCTTCCATCCTTCTCTCGATCTCATTTCTTGCAATTCATGCTTTGTAACAGAAACAAGATCCATAGCGTTGAGCATGTTTTAGTCCGTACGCTGTAAAACTTCAGAAAGACTTGCAGATTTGCTTAATACCGTCTTCATGATGTGTAACATTACAACAAAATCAAAGCTGCGTATCGTTTCCAACCGTCTTGACGCTTTTGCTCTCAAATTTGTTACAATCCCATCTTCCACAATAATTTCAAGAACTTTGATAACTTAATTGTACAGATCAAGCATTCAACAAATAGAAACAAAATGAGTTTCCATCTTGTCTCTCCTGGATGCCAAAGTGATTGCTCCTGATTTAATCCGCAATCTTTTCTGATTTCCTTGACAACAATTGTATCACTGATGTTGATTGCATGTCATTTTTTAAAGCAAGGCACACGTTTGCAAGAAGTAACTACCGTGACACATAATGACGACAGTTTAGCAAAAAACCGACAAACTTTGATCTGATTCTTGGCTGTTGACATCAAAGCAAGTTGGAATTGGTGTGCAAAACATAGTATGCTGAAGGTACTTCTCTTTAGATGATAGTCTTCAAATCTTAATGTCTCCACGCACATTAGATGCTCCATCATATTCTTATACTCGTACACATGGTAGCAAAATACCGTTCCCGCTCAAAGTGAAAACAATGGCGGCCATCAAAAATTTTGAATGTATATCAGCAACATGGTTCATAATCAAAAAACTCTCTTGAATTATTCCAAAAAATGTCGACAAATCTTAGAACCAAATACACCTGTTCATTTGTCGATTCATCTTAAGTTTCATGAATCTGCAAACAAATAAAGTTGTCATCAATTTGTTTTACAATATGTTCTTGGATACATGAAGCCATTGACCTTAGTATGTACTTTTAGATGTCTAGAGATGTCATCTTCACATTCTTCGGTGCATAATCGAGACAAACATGTTGATAATCTACAAAATGATGATTAAAAAGAATAAGTAGCTCAAGAAAATTTCCACGATTGAATGAATCTCTAGATTTGTTATGACCGCAAAAAGCAAAACCTTGATGTGCATGAATTTGCATTGTCTTGATAGATGCAGTCAACCAAAATCTTTGATCAGCTTTTTGTTGTTCAGATTGACGATCTAGTGTGACTTCAATAGAAGAATGTTGATTTGGTTTTGACTTCCAAGCAATGAAGTGCAAAAAGAGAGTTGAAGTGCGTTACCAACATGTTTTGCCAATTCATAGTATTTTCCAATCATTTTGTTCTAGCTTGGAACACCTTCATTGACAAATTGCCTCGAAATTTGCGTACACTTTGCAAATAAATAACAGGGAAAACATTACATAGTATACTTTGCAAGTCTGCATTCAAACCAAGGATGCGGAGCAAATAATTAAAAACAAAAACAATAAAGTTTACCATACTATTTTACATAACGATATTTTGACAATTATGGATGAAACTACCCCTTAGATATGTAAGACTTTTGAATTCTATATCTCTAAGAGAGGCTAGGTAGAACAAAATTATTGGTCTTAGATCTGGATCGCGCTCCAATGCAGCCACAAACATATACTCTATACATTATCGCTTTGATGCAAGAGATGTTAACATCAATCATACGGGCAAACTCAACTTGTCTAACCACAAAACAAAACAAAAAATAACACAAACATCAAACTTTACCAATCTTGAAACAATCAAAAGCAAAAAATATAAAAGTACAAGTTTTCCAACCACAAAACATTAAAAAAATATATAGAATCATTAGAAACAAAAGCATCCGAATCAATTAGAAGATAGAAGAAGCATCGGAGAATCAAGAAGATAAAAGTTGTTTTTCTCGTACTTCTGTGTACATTTGTCTTCTTTTTACTCTATCTCGTGCAGACGACTTCAAAGAAAAATAGTTCAAACAGTCAATAAGAGAAACAAAGTCCTAAACAATTTACGAAATACATGTGATTTATCACATTTAATCTGATGAGTCGAACATGCTACTAGCGAAGTTTTTTTTCTTGTTGCGACTTGGGGAGAAAGAACTTTGAGCTGACGCTATCTTTGTAATTGCAGCGCATGTGTTTTTTCAATCTCGCATTTTCAGGGGCATGGCCGATCCAATTATGTTACACATTTGAAATCATACTCATCCAGCGGTACACATGAAGAGTCTATCGTTGTTTCTAGCCGAACAACAACGACATCCATTGTATAAAAGCAGAAGTCAAAATCCTTTACAAGTTGGGTTTGAAATCATCTTCATAGATTTCAAATTGGTGAAAGATTTCAATTCCAATAGATTCCAATCCAATCACCTACCTGGACTGCTTCTTTGAACAGTAGGTGAACTACATAATTTTTTGCCAACATTGGGACAAGCACATTGTCTCGTCATCTGCTAATAAAACACAATATGACAAAAAGTAAAAAATTGGACAATCTTCTATAAATATTGTTTGGAGTAAATGATGAACTTCAAGATCCGTATTAGCTAGATGACGAGTCCAAAGAAGCCAATTTGAATGACATGGTTGCATTTGTGATGGATCACCAGCAAACGTTCAACGAGACATTTTGATCATTTTGCCGACGCCTCAATCCTCATCACTCCATGCCATTGCGGCAAACTCTAGCATGTTATTTATGTGATCATTATGAACGTTCATTGTTAAAATTTTGTTCATATATAGATCTTATCAAATGAACGACTGCTATCACTTTGAATTGTTGATACTTTCGCGTGATGTGTGACTATTGGGTGATTATAGTTCATTAGATTGATCAAGGGTGAAAACTTCAATTTGTTATGGTGGAATTTTGCTTCTTTTCACCTTCACACAATCAACACCACTACGCCTGATTTGATTCTTTCTCTGATGAAAAATTTCAACATGTGGTTTAAGATCAAGATCGTCAAATCCGACAGCGGCTAAGAGATGTCACCGGCCATGATCATTGTTTTCGAAGCTACTAATCCATATTCAATCTTGTGGTGAAAACAAAAATTCAATGATTTTCTGACCTCATCCAGGATGGCCATTGACAAGTTGATGATACAAAGTACTTCTATGGTATTTGAATAGAGGTTTTCAAAGAAAAAGTGCTGGATTTGTTTGTAAAGATGTATCTAAATTATTGAACAAAAACATCAAGATGAAATTGAAAAAATGAAACGGTTTATTTTGATAGCAAGCTACTCAAAATTAATAAAATTTGAACTACTTAACTTATTGTTTTTCCAAAAAATTTTGGACCTATTAAGTGGTACACCTTTTTTTTTTTCTGAACTGTGGCCAAGCCTAACACCATAACCATCAAAATGTATCGCATACAAGTTTCATTTATTGATGAAAATATACATCTAAATATAACAACTTTAAACTTACAAGCGTCATATCAAGATGATAAGATAGTGTTAGCCAAGATAGTACACCTTATTTTTCTGGACTGTGGCCAAGCCTAACACCATAACCATCAAAATGTATCGCACACGAGTCTCATTTCTTGATGAAAATATACATCTAAATATAACAACTTTAAACTTACAAGGGTCATATCAAGATGATAAGATAGTGTTAGCCAAGATAGTACTGGAATGATGCAAAAGTGTTGCTAAGAATCATAACTAAAATGTATAACGATCTGTAGAGTTCACGAACTCTACAGATCATACATGAGTAGGATACGCATACTGTACATGTCCACACGAACATACAAAAACAGAGCAACAGGTAGTATGAGTATGGAGAGAGAGAACGCGCGCTTCACGACGCACTGCTAAACTAGACGTCTCTAAATGCGGAACGAGTACCTTTTCCTCGTCTTCGGAGGCCTACCAGACGTTTCCAAATTACGTTAGAGGATTCCGAATTGGCGAAGGCGTCCTCGTGATAGGACTCGACCTCAGCGCTAGGGTTTGGATTTGTCGCTCTTTCGTCGAGAAGGCGAGATCGTCCGCGACTGCCTTGCGGGACATTTTGCACTTCGTGTTTTTCGGGGGAGTTCAGATTCGAGGATTAGTGCGCAGTGTTGATTGTTGACGAGGAAAGGGAAGAGGCAGGATGGCCGCAGCTCTGAGCATCAGAAGAGGAAACGCACGTCTTCCCCCTGAAGTGAATCGGGTGCTGTACGTGAGAAATTTGCCGTTTAATATTTCGTCAGAGGAGATGTACGACATCTTTGGGAAGTATGGAGCCATTCGACAAATTCGTATCGGCGACAACAAGGACACCCGTGGAACGGCTTTCGTCGTGTATGAGGACATCTACGATGCGAAGAACGCCGTCGACCATCTTTCTGGTTTCAATGTCGCAAATCGTTATCTGATTGTTCTGTACTACCAGCAAGCGAAGATGTCGAAGAAGATCGATCAGCGGAAGAAGGAGGAGGAGCTGACAAAATTGCAGGAGAAATATGGTGTCTCGACCAAGGAAAAATAAGCATTCGGATCAGATTACATTTTGTAAGATAATTTAGCTTGAAGATCAAACTAGGCTCGACACAGGATACTTTGACTTCGCCTCTTGGGACTAAGATAATGATCAAAGTAGTCCCTTTTAGGCCTTTCTAAATGAGGTTAGTTGTGAAGTAGCAGGGTGAAGAACAGAAGAGGGTGCGAATGTTTGCATGTACCATATGAATTTTTAGAGAACGCCTCGGACTAACTATAGCTTGTGAAATCATATAAGTGGCCAGAATGGACGATTATATTGTCATGAGTACCTTCAGAGAAACCGCAAGATCTCTTTCCAGTTGTTTATGATTTCGTATGATTATGATTGTGATAGTAGACCCAACGTGTGGTATATTGAAACAGTTGTCTTAATTCGCAACACTGTCACTGTGGTGAATTTTTAGCCAATGAACATCGCTTCAGAAAATGTGGAAGAAATACTCGTCTTTTTTATGTGATGGAGAACGCATTGTAAAACCCAGTGTGTTTGTCACATTTACAAAAGTATGAACCGTTTTACTCGATTTGACTGTGTGTCCGTCTTACACTTGCAATATCTATGGAGTTGCGTGACAAGCCTGTAAATGCAGAAGTTTAGACCCATTGCAGAAGCGGGTTGATGCAGTCACTTTCTAAGTTGACAACTGCAGCTCCTGATTCATATCCAGAAGCAGGACAGACTACGCTTGCGTATTCCCTCCTGGGTTACTGTAACTGTACCTGTAAGCATTCCTCTCGCAGTCTGATAGTTTGTTCGCTGTAGTTGTGTCTTCGCTTCACCTGAAAATTTCATCCATAGATTTCGCCCTCGAATTGTTCAAATGTTCTTGAAGTTCCCAGGTGAATATGATTATTGAGTTTTATCTTGGCTGAGGTGTGTGGTTATCACCAAACGCAGTCGAAAGCTTAGGAAACAGAGTTCATTTACACCACATCAGTTCGGGATTGGGTGTCCTAAACTCAAGTGAATTGTGTTCACCTACAGGCAGTGGTGCTCTGAAGAGTACTATATCATTGTAATATCTTGCTTTTTGATATCTCTTCGCTTTCTCACGGTAGGAGTGTTAATTTTAGAGTCTGCAGAGATGCGTTCCTCTAGCAGGAGCTTGTACTTTGAAGCCCTAATGATATGATTAACGGGTAGGCCAAGTACACTGTACGGAAACTCTAATTCTGCACACATGTTGCCCATTCTGAATATTTTCAATTACAATGCGGTCTGATGTTCTCTATTTTTCACATTCATAGATTCTCGGTGTCACAGACCTATGTTGTACTGCATGTTATCAGTTTTCCCATCTTATGCTAATGAGCTTTTCGTAGGGTAATTTGTTTACTCTCAGTATTCCCGGTAGTGAACTTCCCTTGTGATTCATTCCAAACTGGCTTTATGGTTTTCGTTCAGAAAGTTTCAGAACTGTTAGCTTCTTTCCCAAGTGACAATTGTTTCGGATTGTGCTCAGTACTATTCTCCTGACACTTTGGAGCAGCTTATACGTTCTCCTGATATTCTGTTGCAACTCTTACTAATCGAAATATCTCTTCGTTGACGCTCTGGACAAACTCAAAATAATTTCTTGTTTGTATAGGAGATGTCTCACTCTTTCCTTCTCCACCGAAAATTTCGTTCTAGGCTTTCTAGAGCTCTTCTTCATCCCACTCGAACACCTCAAATTCAGAAGATGCTTTCTATAAAGAGCCAAGTATATGTTCATATCTGATGCTTTAGATTCAGGTGGGAAAACACTGTGACACATCTCTGGGTCCCTGCCTTTGTTCCGACTTCCCTCATATCGCTATCAGCATGTGTTTTGATTTTAGAACCCGGTCAATTGCACGTAGATGGTATGGAGCTGTGTATGGTGTCTACCTTTGATCAGGACACTGAGCCACTTTCTTCGGCCACAACCCTGTTACCACATTGCCGCCACAAACCTCAAGACCCACCCCACACAGTCCCTGAACTGCCGATATTGTACCTGCTGACCTTACTGGGAACTTGGTACAAATCTTTCCTACAAGAATGTCATTGAGATGTCGTCAGGAAGTAGAGTTGAATAGATGATGTCGTATTTCGCAACATATCTGTGACTGTCGAGAGCGATCAGTTCTATCATGGTTTGTGTTCTTTTTTGCGTCATAAAACTTTGTATGAATTCTAGTCACTTAAGCTGACCCCTACTTAAAAAATTCATTTTCTCACGCCCCAACTGTTTAGTCCTTGTACCAGGTGGCTGAATAGGGAGAAATCCTCTAAGACAAAGGTTCTGTGTAGTAAAACTTGAACCTGCTTGACCTGCTCGAGCTCAATGCACTTCTCACTACCAAGTGAAGAGTCATCCTCCCAATTTCAGAAGCACTCCTCCCATTTTCGGCTCCACCTACATTGCTTTTTCAGACTTGCACCAATCGATTTTCACCAGCAATCTGAAACATCGCCACCATCTATGTTTTCCCTTTTCGTGTGTCCGAAGCCGACTTGTAACACGCTTGCATGTAAGAACAGGAGAGAAGAAAGATGAAGAAAGTCCTAAGAGGTCTATTTCCATCTCATGGAATCGGAACAATATGAGGAAGGACAGGGAGGTCGTTTGAAAAGTGAGGAAGAGTAAATTTTTCTTTTAAAATGTTTACATAAGGAAACAAGCAGGGGATATAATACCAGACCAGTAGATACTGGAAAGGAGGTGAGAAATTCCCATACAGTAGTTTTGTTTGAGCAGAACATGTGCATCAAAATTGTACGGGTGACTAAAGTCGAAAATATTTCGCGGATAAAATACGAGCGAAATGCGTGGAAGATGAAATGTTATGTATCTCAAGTTTGGTTCTGATTACATAGAATTTAATTTAATAACCAAAATATCACAAGAAGTACTGTCAGATACAATACAAAAAAACTTAGTCTTTGCCAAAAAGCACTATAGTCTTGCTTAAATCGGAGTCGATTCTGACTTTGCTGGAAACGCAGAGACTGATCATTCACAAAAGAGGATTGGAATATAACCCATCTAATTTACATGGTAATTTTTCCTGACCCAAAGACATTTCTCCCCGTTAGTTTAAGTGATATGAAAGATTTCAAGTAAACGTCATAGAAGAATATAGGCAAGTTAAGAAATATCTTATATTCTTCTTTAGATTAGTCTCTTTAAAAGAGGGTTGTAAAATCGAAATATAAGATGATGGGAAGAAACATCAAGCCAAATAAGTAAGAAACCGCCAACTAAACAGAGTTTCATGATAAAAGTTTTAAGTCTTATGTTATATATGAAATTTGAATTACCTGTGATCAAACGTTTACATACATAGCACAAACAACAAATCCATCCCATATTGCATTATCAAAATGTGATTGAATTCATGTGAAAACGTTGGCAAGTGATATTTGTAGAGCTATGATAGAACGTACACTAGATTAAACTGCACAATAAGTAGAGAAAGTGATATATTATTGCAGTAATGTATCATTGCACATTCACTCAAATATATATCGAAAAATATATTGAGAATTTCTGACAAATTTAATTTTGGAGTAACAAAGAGATTAATCATTGCCTAAATATTTTATTAATGAGTCCGTAGAGGATATGCGTTCTATTACTATTCTCTCAACATAGACTTGTCTAATACTAGCCATATCTTATGTTAGTTTCATCCATAAGCTATGAATAAATGATGGAGATAACCACACAATCTTATATAAAGTCTTCATGTATACATCCGTCCTTTGGTTGTATTTTTTTTTGTTTCATGAGACCGAGGTGTAGCGGATCTTCCTTTTGAAGTCTTTACTATGAATGGTTTTGACTAATTACTAGTCTGAACCAGAACCAAAATTTTAACCACAATCCCCAAAAAATGTTTTTTTACTTCACGAGGTACTTTGGTCTCTTTATACCATATGGCTTACGGTAATCCACTTGTTTTCTTTAAGGTCTCATCACATTTCAGTAATGCATGTACACATTCTGATTATAAATTCAGTATGATTCTAAAGTTGATAGTTGTTGCCATTTATATTCAAAACAATTGTAAGTTGTTGAGAAAGTATGAATGCCAATGTAATGACATTATTAATAACTGCAATATGATCAAGTTCCTGTATTCAATATTTGTGTCTATTATGACATGTTGAAATTGATAGGTTGTAATATCATCAGGCTTAAGATTAAGTTTTGCAAGATATAATCTTAACCACATAGATCAAAACCAAGAGACAGGTTCTCATGGACATAAGGTGGTAGCCTCAATCAGGCTCACTAGTCTTTCCTGCAGTCACAAGTCTTCACGTCCGAATGACGGAAGAGAGTCCCGCTCAATTTGAAGGAAGAGGGAGATAGACAGAAAGAAGTCTAGAATCGCCGCTAATTTAGCAGCGGTCCACGTGAGAGGATCGCCTCTAAAGTCGTAGCGAAGTTGGAGCACCGGTGCTGGGGTGCGTCGTGGGGCCGTCGGACTGTCGATTGCTCGTGGCAGGGCAGGGAGGGGGAATGGGAGGCCGTGTTAGGGTTTGGTCTACTTCTTGCTCTGTTCCAACAAGCTCGATCTTTTTCCTTCGTCGCCTGCTCGTGGCAGGGCTCTCTCGACCTTCAAGTCCTTAGGGTTTCGATTTTCGTCGTTCGTTTTCCATCGGGGCTCAATGGCGTCCGAAAAGAAGCAGCAGAATTGCATGCGCGAGATCAAAGTTCAAAAGTTAGTTTTGAACATTTCCGTCGGAGAGAGTGGAGATCGACTCACTCGTGCTGCCAAGGTGTTGGAGCAGCTCAGCGGTCAGTCGCCCGTGTTCTCCAAAGCTCGCTACACCGTCCGGTCTTTCGGAATCAGACGTAACGAGAAGATTGCATGCTATGTCACCGTCAGGGGCGAGAAGGCTATGCAGTTATTGGAGTCTGGTTTAAAGGTCAAGGAGTACGAGCTTCTCCGGAGAAATTTCTCCGACACCGGGTGTTTCGGATTCGGTATCCAGGAGCACATCGATCTCGGTATTAAGTACGATCCTTCCACCGGTATTTATGGTATGGACTTCTACGTGGTGTTGGAGCGCCCGGGATACAGAGTTGGCAGGAGAAGGAGGGCCAAGTCCAGAGTCGGAATCCAGCACCGTGTGACGAAGGAAGATTCCATGAAGTGGTTCCAGGTCAAGTACGAGGGAGTGATCTTGAACAAGTCTACACAAATCGCTTAAATGGGCTGAGCATCAGGCATTTAGGCAGCGATGATTACAGTGGAAGTGCCAATTTTTTGTAAGTGTGGGTTCCTGCTTTAGGATGACGGGTATTGATTCGGGCTCCTGCACGTAGTAACCAGGCTATGGGGGGAAGTCCAGGTGAAATAGCAGGAAGTTATCTCGATCAAGTATTCTGTAATCTCTTGAGCTCATTACCAGCCACAACCAGTGGCAAGGTGAATGTAGGGTTTCTGCGGTCTTCTGCTAAATGTCTGGGCTGCAAAAAATCTACGTGGAAAATTTTGATGAGTTCTCTGTCCAGTTTTTGGAGATTAATACAGTTGTTTTCCTTCCAGTCGAAATGTTATTCCAATGACTGCAAATTTATTGCAAGATTGCAGCTCTTTGGTACCAATACACGTGATGTTTGACCCCGTATATTATCCAGACTTGTTGTGGCGGAAGATTCGCCTGCAAGAATTTGTGATCAACGTATGAATGGATTGTAGATTTTTTTGGTCTCAGGGTGTGTAGTAAGTTAGACATCGAGTTGTAGTACGGCCTAAAGTTTTGAATGTAAATATGTGGCTGGATGCTTCATCAAATCTGCTTGGAGCATATTCTCGGAAAGAAAACGCTAGGGACTGATTGATATTGGAAGAGATTTCGTAATCAAAACATGTGAGAAGAGAATTTGCAGGAGCAGGGAATTGAGATGTTTCTTTTCACTCTCCAATGTCCTTTGTTTAGAACAGTATTGTATGCCCGGGCTGTCACATCCTCTGTTTCTCCTACTGTGGTCATCTCGTTTGCTCTCTTCGCCCACCGTGCGCAGCACGTTGTGAACGGTGTTATGTACTGGCGTGTTACTCCAGACTTCTCGACTTTGAAAGACTCTTGTATAAAAGTCTAGGCGCCAGTTTTTCGTCTCTGTGGAGTCACTAAAGACCCTAAATAATGAACCTGATCTTCACGAACGTTCTAGAAGAATTTTCTGGTTCTGCTTCTTTCTTCTGGGTTGACAATTATTGCCATCTCATTGACAGTAGCACAATCTATCCCAGAAGTACACTGGCTATATGTCTATTAGGTAACATAGAATTAGCACAAGTGCGGTAAAGAATTAGCTCAAGTGCGGTAATCGAAGGTTTTCTTTAAGCAAGTAGACTGCAACTTTCGTGTTTAGATTTGATCTATGTTATTCTGTACCATCTACACCAATTTGCCTAATTTGAAGTCGTTGTGAAAGTAGTCAAAAGCAATTCAATGTAGATTCACATGAGTTTGGCGGTGATTGATTCTTACACCCAACGTTCTTGGTAACCCTGGATACCTTGCAACTGACAGTTTGGAAATGACAGGTTTCTGCTTGTCTTACTTCATTGTTCTATTTTTACCAGAGCGTCAAGGATGCCAGTTGTTCTGTGTTCGAGCCACGCAGACATTCAGCATGGCCGTGTTCGTGTGAGTCTGTTCAAATCCTGGATCACGTTCAACTGTTATGCTCCTCATTAGTAGGTGGTGTCTGCTCTCACTGATGTGTGCTTTTTCAATTCATACGGAGAGATGGGCGTTCAGTTATAACGGCTCCTGCAGTTTGCCAGGAGATGCCGAATCATTCGCGGGCTTATCTCAGGTTGATCGATAGGTACTCTGTGGTACCACCCTACTGTCCTCAACGACAATGGAGTGTGGAAGTCTTCAGTCTTCAGTGTTTCGCTGTTCCCTCTCTGTGCATTCGGTGGCAAAACTTTTAGATTCAAAAGTTTCGTATGGGTTATGTGACTTAATACAGGTTTCTGATTTCTTCACATTCTTCGTTATCTTAAACGCAAGACATGCGGTTGGGGCGAAATCTGCACAGGTTCCTGAAGTAAGATAGGCATCTCTTTTTCCGAACGAGGGGAGGTCTTGGAAGGGAAGCTACAATTGCTTTTCCTTCTGAATGAAAACCTATTGTTTGTCTTGTGGACCAATCATTGTTTTTGCGTGTGAACATGCATCGATGTACTCTGCTATACAGCAAAAGCAAAACCATGTCAATCCCTTCAAAGGGATCGAGCACACGTATGTCTTTATTGCGATAGTGCAGATTGTGCGTTAAATTGCAGATTTGAGCCCAGCCTTTAACCATTCTCATCAGGCTTGTCGAACAAATCATGAAAACAGCATCGTAATGGCTTGGAAATTTCCCACTTTTCACGAAGCTTGCGTTCTAACAACGTTGTCAATGAAATTGCACTAATAGCACGTGACTCCGCTTCGCTCTCATACCATTTTTAATTCAAAACTCAAAAAATGCAGTAGGTTGCACCAAGAATCCGAAGATACATGAGATGACACAGAAAAGAAGTGGTTTACCAAAAGTGCGACGTAAACCAAAACTAACTTGTTATGTTAGTACACAAAAACTAGCTTGTTATGTAGGTGCAAACGCCAAATGTCTCTCACCTTCACATATATATATAGCTGGAAGCTAAGCCCTAGAGTTAAAGGTTGACTAGCAACTAACTTGAGTGAGTACAGATGAAAACTTATTCCTAACAAACTTGAGCGATTGCAAAAATATTATGAGATTTATTAGTTATATATTTTGGTGGATAAAAAATATACAGTTTGAAATTCATGCTACATTGAGATTGAACTACATCTAATACATTACAAGCACAAATTAATCGTCGTAAGTTGATATAAAGTTGAAATTGCAAGATTCATCTTTATGTAACTAACTATGAGAAAGTTTATATGGTAGTGGTATGTTTTGTTACATATGGTTTCACTTAATGAATGCTGTGAAAGACAATCCTTAGAAGTGAGCACATATTTGTGTCAATTTTGGCTTGTTTGAAACAATAATTTAGAATTTTTGATGTGTTTGGTACTTTTGCAAAATCATCTTCTGATACAAATGAAGGATTGAAGAATTTTAGAATAGGATTCAAGACTAAAATTTGAAAGATTATGATTCAAGACTAAAAACTGAGATGTATAAAAAAAATTCACAATTATACCTGAAGTATTATTTTGAACAGATAATCTGATTCAGAGTTGTTTAAAACCCTAAACCCTAATACGAAAGGAAAAGTCAAAAAGTACAGTTTACATAAAAAATCTCAAAGAGTATTATACAAGAAGACAATATGATAACTTCAAAGTATTCTGTACACCTGGATTTAGAAATGCCTGCATGGAAAATCCGCGCATAAAGTTGCTCTTCTTACTTTACGTACGCAATGTGAACGTGCGCAAAACTGAAAGTCTGCAAATGCTGATTAAAAAACATTTCTTAGAAGAGGTAAGATAACTTTATATAGCAGGAAAATATATCCCCGTGCTATAAAGTATTGCTGCTAGAACTATTCTACGCGGACAAATGATTTCTGCTAGAACTATACTACGCGGCCATATGATTTCTGCTAAAACTATTCTACGCAGCTATATGATTTCTGTTTAGAGGAGAGGCAGCGATCAGAGTCGAGCATGGCGAGCTGTGGTGCCGGGAACGAGGAGATCGTCTTCAGAGACAAATTCCGCAACAAATGCTCGAAGTTCCTGGAAGACATGTGCTTCAAGAACACCGAAGAATGCGCAAGTCATGAACTGTTGGATCAGATTTACGACGCTGTGTGCAGCCTGCGAAAATTGCAATCAACAAGAGTCGATATGATCAGAGAATGCTGTGCATATGCGGACTTCACGTGTAGGCACCATACGTTCGAGCACAAAGTCAAAGTTGCCCATATTATCATATTACCATTGTGAAATTGCAAGATTTCAACGTTATGTAACTAACTATGAGAAAGTTAATATGGTAGTGATATGTTCTGTTACATATACTTTCACTTAATGAAAGCTGTGGAAGACAATTGTTAGAAGTGAGCACATATTTGTGTTAAGTTTGGCTTGTTTGAAGCAATGATTTAGAATTTTTTGTACTTTTGCAAATCATCTTGTGATACATTTGAAGGATTGAAGAATTTTAGAATAGGATTCAGGACTTAATTTTATAGATTATGATTTAAGACTAAAAATATGAGATGTATAAAAAAATTCACAAATATACCTGAAGTATTATTTTGATCAGATAATCTGATTCAGAGTTGTTTAAAAATTTGTGGTTATTTCAATCAGCTGAAGTTGATGAGACGAAAGGAAAAGTCATAAAGTACAGTTTATATAAAAAATCTCAAAGAGTATTACACAAGAAGACAATGTGATAACTTCAAAGTATTCTGTACACCTGGATTTAGAAATATCTGCATGGAATATCCAAAATCTCATCACAACCTTGAGATTTCTAAAAAACCCTGTACTACAGCCACTAGTTTGTTCGCACATGAAGTTGCTCTTCTTACGTCATGTACGCAATGTGAACGTGCGCAAAACTGAAAGTCTGCAAATGCTGATAAAAAAACATTTTCTAGAAGAGGTAAGATAACTTTATATAGCAGGAAAATATATCCCCGTGCTATAAAGTATTGCTGCTAGAACTATTCTACGCGGCCATATGATTTTTGCTAGAACTATACTACGCGGCTATATGATTTCTGTTTAGAGGAGAGGCAGCGATCAGCGTCGAGCATGGTGAGCTGTGGTGCCGGGACCGAGGAGATCGTCTTCAGAGACAAGTTCCGCCACAGATGCTCGAAGTTCCTGGAAGACATGTGTTTCAAGAACACCAAAGAATGTGCAAGTCATGAACTGTTGGATCAGATTTACGACGCTGTGTGCAGCCTGCGAAAATTGCAATCAACAAGAGTCGATATGATCAGAGTATGCTGTGAATAAGCCTCGGCAAGGTAAGTTAACCCTTTAGGGTTACTGGTAAAAATGTAAAAGGTAAGGGTAAAAGTAATACGTTTGGCTATAGGGTAACGTAAAGTAAAGGTAGAGTTTATTTACCGGGTAATCCGCGAAGAAAAAAATCGTGGACGTTCTTCTGCAAAGACTAAACGCTTCTTACGACAAACCTCGTACATTGAAAAGCAAAAACGTGGACGAGGCTTAGTCGAGAGTTCGAGACTCTCTCGCACCACCTTTTTGTGTCCATCACAACAAGCTATGTGAAACTCCGTGGCAATGAGCGATACAAGAACCAATCTACAATTGAGAGAAAGTCTTGCCAAAGTACAATAAGATTGCAGTAGAAAAGTTGTAATTTTTGTAACCTTAATTGCCAACTTTCAGTAATTGTTGCAGATTGGAGAACATTGCGAGATATTGACGTTTCTCTTGAGTACAGCAAAGAAACTAGAATGGGATCTCGCAGTCAGGTGCTCATGCCATGCTATCGAAAAACTCTGCTATTTCCTCCACACCCAACCTAACTGTTGCTGTCACATCCCCTATTAAGCTATGACTACCAAACTAGTATAGGTAGATTTACCAAGTAACACTAATAGGTTAACGTTAAGACTAATTTTTAAATCCTTACGAGATAATCGGGTAA